TCCTGTACCGTGTCCGCAGTCTCTGGTCACCTCCTGTACTACTATGTCTGCAGTCCATTGGGTCAGAATATTTATTTTCCGGTTTCCTCCTAAAACCTAAGTGCGTCTTATGGAGCGCAAGAAATACGGTAAATCATTTCAATTAATTTATGCACATTTTTTATGTAGCAGTGTTTGATTTATTGTTTATGATTTTTTAGTGTACAGTGCACTCATTTTTTATACGTTTTGTATTTTCTGGTGTTCAGGGAAAGAGTAGCAGCAGTTCACGAATTGTTTCAGAATATATATATTTTTTTCACACATTTATTGACATATTGTATTGTCTGGGGTGTAGCGCAGGTTTTCCCCCCTTTTTTCTGCAATATAAATCCTGTATAGTAATAACTCGTTTCTACCATAAGCTGTGTAACAAATGACACCATGAAACTACATGATCAATGCGTATCTTATAGTGGAACTAAATGTCATCTGAGCACCACAAACTGAAAACGCCATTTACCACTTCAGCTCCAGAAGATTTACCTCCCAGGCCATTTTTTGCGATAAGGCGCTGCGTTACTTTAATTGACAATTTGCGGTCATGCAACGCTGCACTCAGATTAAATTTGTGTTTTTTCCCCCCACAAATAACTCTTTCTTTTGGTGGTATTTGACCTCTATGGTTTTTACTTTTTTCATTTTAAACAAAAAAAATTATTTTTTTATTTTCCACTATAAAAGATATCCAAAAAAAAAAAAATCAAATTTATTCATAAAATGTAGGCCACATTGTATTAGGCTGCATATTTTTGGTTAAAAAAAAATCCCAACAAGTGTATATTGATTAGTTTGCACAAACGTTATAGTGTCTACAAACTATGGGACATACTGTATACTGGAGTTTTTAAAGTTTTTGTTTATACTAGTAATGGCGGCATCAGCGGGACTGCGATATTGCAGCGGACATTATTACACTAACTCATACTTTGTGGGAACCAGTGACACTAATACAGTGATCAGTGCTAAAAATATACACTGATCACTTTACTAATGACACTGGTTGGGAAGGGGTTAACGTCGAGGGTGAACAAAGGGTTAAGTGTGTGCCTAGCTATGTTCTTGGTGTACACTAGGTAGTGCTAGTACAAGGGTAAGTGATGGATCGTGTTCCCAGCTCTGCTCTGATACACTATCACTACTACTATGTAAACATAGGCAGAGCTCTGTTATTCCTCCCTGCCTGACGATCTGCGGATGTTCACCGGGACTTGGAGACCAGCTTCTGCAGAAGCAATCAGTCGGCAGTGCACCCCTGTGAGGCGAAATGCAAAAACCACACATATATATATATATATATATATATATATATATATATATATACATATATACACACACACACACACACACACACACACACACTGACTGTACTAATGACAATGGTTGGGAAGGGGTTAACATCTAGGGCGATCAAAGGGTTGTGTGCCTAGCTATGTTCTTGGTGTTCACTAGGTAGTGCTGGTAGAAGGGGAAGTGATGGATCGTGTTCCCAGCTCTGCTCTGACACACGAACACTACCGCCTTTCACAACAGACCTCTTCCTATGTAAACATAGGCAGAGCTCTGTTATTCCTCCCTGCCCGACGATCTGCGGGTGTTCGCCGGGACTCGGAGACTAGCTTCTGCTGTGACAGTTCACAGAAGCGATCTGCCAGCGGTGCACGTGTGCACCCCTGTGAGGCAAAGTGCAAAATAACACATATATACACACACACACACATATACACACTTGATTTTGCACAGGAGGCCTGCCCTGTAGCAGTAAAACTGCTATAGGGCAGTCTTCGAATGGTTAACTCATTTTTAATATTCAAAGCAAAAACGCCCCCTTCCACCCATGTCTCCATGCTTTATTCTGTTGAGAAATCACTTAGGACTCCCCCCCCCCCCCCCCCCCCCCTAGCATTTCTGGCCATGGCGATCTTGGGCAGGGGCAGGGGTGGACTGACCATTTGGAAACTCGGGCACTGCCCGAGGGCCCAGGGTCAGTAGGGGGCACCAGGAGATGCCCCTGGTACCTTTTTCATAGGCTTTTTTGAGTTTGGGCAAGGACACAGGGGCCCCATGATCCCCTATTGCCCCGGGGGGCCCCATGAGTTGTCAGTCCGCCCCTGGTAGGGGCAGATGGTTCATGTAACATTTACTTCCTGGAATTCATCTGCCCTTAGCGCAGGTATAAAGGCAAGGGGGTGTGCTTAGCTGAGAAAACCCCTCCCCCTCCTGAAGAATACTGGGATGTATGACATCATTTGCCTAGGCATGGAGGCCAGGAAATTACTTTTTTAAACTTTTTTTTTTACATTTTTTTTAAATTTGATCTACTTTCCCATCTATTTACTAATACTAGCAGCGTAAGGATTACAAATAGTCCATGTTGATTGAGAGAGTGAAGTTTCGCTTTAATCTGGTCATACACAGACTGAACAAAAAAAAACCCAACAGATTCCTCCATCAGAAGACAGAAGCTGGGAACACCATACAGCGAAGCCCAGCCACTATACAGAGAGGTGAAGATATGGGTTCAGCCTCAACGGGGTTCTCCAAGACGAAGCCCCATGGGTGGGGCGAAACATGTCAGAGAAGTGTAGTCAGGAGGAGCCGTATCTTCACCTCGATGTATAGTCGCTGGGCTTCGGTGTGCTGCGTTTCCAACTTTTCCCTCTACTTTGCTTCTGCTAGCGCTTGTTTGAACCCCGGCACCCAGTCTGTGCTATGGCCTGCAGGAGGAGGGCTTTGCAGTGCTTTGAGCGGCGCTCCACCTTCTTAGTATATGGGTCACAGATCCCTCCATCCACACCAGGCAGAGCAGACGGACTCTGTCCAACGCCATCTATTCTTCCATCATAAAATGTTGGGTGGGAGGTTGGTGACCACTCATGGAGCAAATTTTGGCCATTTCTGGACAAAACTCGCATACTATATAGCCAGCTTTAGTATCAATCCCCTTAGGTGGCAGAGCCTGTAAATTGGGGTCAAGTGTTTACTTGGGGGATGCTTGAGGTGTGTGTCCACCCCCCCCCCCCCTCAGTGGAACACTGGGAATATATCGCAAAATCCCCTCACTGCCTAAAATTCAGAATGACAGACGGAAGCAATTTTTGTTTTATATCTGATTTATAATAAAACATCAACAGATTCCAAAATCAAACCCAGAGCAAGGACTGGACATCGCACCTCCCCAGGAGAAGGTCCAAGCAAGCCTGGAGTACACCCTCAGCAGACAGGCCGGCTACGCGTTTCGCACTCCACCAGAGTCCACGTTCAATATGGCATTGATCCCCTAGAGAGGAGAGCAGTCTCTGGGTATTGCCAACGCCTGCAGGGCGAGGAGGGACTCGGGAGTATTTCCCAGGCTATTGCATATACAAAGAGTTTCAGAGTTCTGAGGACGAACGGGAGGTCAAGGAAACCACAAGGTCTAGAAGTGGAACCAATTGGAAACTATTTACTCTTCCTTTTCTTCTTCGCCAAAAACTTTTGTTTGTGTTTCATCTTCTGAGCCTGCTTCTTGAAAGATGGTTTCGGAGTCTGCTTCTTAGCGGGGCCCTGTTGGCTCCTCTTGTTTGATGGGGAGTTCTGACTTGGCTTCTTAGCGGGGTTGTTGGGATTCTGCTTCTTAGCAGGGTTGTTGGGATTCTGCTTCTTAGCGGGTTGTTGGGATTCGGGTTGTTGGGATTCTGCTTCTTAGCGGGGTTGGTGGGATTCTGCTTCTTTATAGGCACGCTCTGGTTTTGCTTCAGCTGGCCTTGTTGCGCTGTTGTTTCTTCTTTCTTCTCTGCAGTGGCATCCTCAGCCTGCTCTGTGCCGGCGGCACCAGTCGCTTTATTGGGAGAAATACAAAAGTTTAACCACTTGCTCTCTGGGGCAGCATTTTTTGAGCTTCAGCATCAAGAGCAGGAAAACATTGTTTTTGTAGTTTTTGGAGCATTTTTTTCCAGCGGAAAAAAAAAAACCACTAAATGCTTATAACAGCTTTTTTTCTAGCTTTTATTTTATACATGTACTGTAAAAACGATAACGCTACTAAACACTTCTGAAAGCTACTAAAAAAAAAGCTATTATCAGCGTTTTTTGAGCTAAAAAAAAAAAAAAAAATGCTAGTCTGCATGGAGCCTTATTTATCAAACGTATATTTTCAGAAAAAAATATACTAAAATATATTTTGGTGTAAACAATACTATACCCAATTTTTTGTAAATATAAAAGATTGGTATCTATTGACCTGAAATTGCAAACGCCCGTGGATTTGCAAAAAGAAAAAAAAAAAAACAAAACAAAAAAAAAACAAAAAAAAAACCTAGGGTGTGCATGAGAGTGACAAGTGTGCTTCAAAAATGTTCTTTATATTTTTAATATATATATTTTATATATTAAAATATATATTAAATATATACATTTTAATTTAAATTATATTTAAACTAAATATATTAAATTCAATTTATTTCAAAATATATATTTTCATTAATTCTATATATTTCTTTTTTTAACCACTTTAATTTCTTTATAACTTTGTATTGCTATCACAAAGGGGCCATTTGCTACCATGGGCAGGTGAGAGGTCCTCTTTATGGAGACATTGGGGGTCTGTTAGACCCCCAAAGTCTCCCATGCCCTCCAACGCAACTATTTGGGCATTGATCGTGCTCATATAGCTGCACGCTCAGCTACACTAGCCCAGGAATGCCAATATCTTATTAAAAAGCTAGTTGCCTTGCCATCATGTTATTCCTTTGACTTCAATACTTTGAGACATTAACCCAGAGTATGCAGAGGAGGATGAATGACGTTACTTTGGACTTTCTTGATCTGCACATAGATTGGTGACTCAATAGCCAGGTAAACAGCAATCTTGGCATACTTTGCTTTAAATGGTCAGTCCATATTTCAGTTATAGGTGGCGCCTAGCATTCAGTGTGACTTGTGGTTCCTCAAAACATGGCAAGACATCGACCATCTGTAATCTATGGCATAGAAACAGTAGGATGCATTGCAACCCCTTGTAGCGGTGGATGATCCCTACCTTCCTTTGTCGATGGAATGGAGTTTGCGAACTTGCGGAACTTTGCAATGAAGAAGCCCTCCATGTTGTGGGTGTGCGGGTAGAAGCGGCGGGTTAGGCGGAGGGATTGGTGGAATCGACGTTCCTTAAACCTGCAGGGAGATGTGGTTAAATGTCAATCGCCATAAAGATAATCAAAGTCACCACATGGAAGAAAAAATATATTTGAAATGCTACAATTTTGGCCGTATTCAATATATTTCAATAAGAAGTAAAAAAAAAAAAAAAAAAAAAAATATAAAAATATATATATATATATAACACAGATATATAAAAATGTATGTATATATGTATATATATATATGTATGTGTGTGTATATAGACATATGTATTCATGCATGCATGCACAAACACACATATCTATATCTATCTATCTATATATATATATATATATATATATTTCAAATATACTGTATGTCTTTAAAAATACAAAGCTACATTTTTGGAATGTATTTACAAATGTTACTAGAAATATTTTACATATATTTTGTACTAAAAACACATTTCAACATACAGTTTGTATATATCTATATATCTCACACACACACACATATATATACACATATACACACACACACACACATACATACACACACATACATACATATACACACACACGTACACACACATTTTATATGTAATATACACATATACACGTATATATGTGCATGCACAAACACCAAACACACACATAATTTTTTTTTTTTTTAAAAATACAAATCTACATTTTTGGAATGCATTTACAAATATATGTAAAATTATATATGTTAAAATGACTTTTTTATATGTAAAAAAGAAAAAAATCAGAAGATTATATTTAAAAAATATATATATATTTTTTCAAATATATTCTTCATATTTTTTGTAACATATAAAAAAAGTAATTTTAACATATACATTTCAAATATACTGTATGTCTTTAAAAAATACAAAGCTACATTTTTGGAATGCATTTACAAATATTTTTAATATATATTTTGTACTAAAAACGCATTTCAACAGTGTGTGTGTGTGTGTATATATATATATATATATATATATATATATATATATCTATACACACATATATCTCACATATATCTATATATATATCTATATATAGAGATATGTATATATATATATATATATTGAATACGGCCAAAATTGTAGCATTTTAAATATATGTCAATATATTTGGGAGGAATACTTTAAATATATTTTTCTTCCATTTGGGCATGGCAGAGTTGGTGAGTCCATCTCTCCATATACACACGTTATATCCTACTAGCTCTGACCTACTTGATCCTACACACAAATACAGTAGAAATCACACCATTAATAAAAAGAGAAGTGCGGGATTCTAAAAATATAAATATACATACTGACCTACATGGATGCAGGATCGATCCCAGCTGCAGCCCCCACACCAAGAACTGAGCGATCAAAGGCTGCTGATCGTTCAGCTCCTGGGTCTGCTCTGAGCAGAGAGGTGATGGTCTCACTGGAGCTCTGGACTGTGGAGGGGGGGGAGACACTGAGCCAGCTGCTGGTCAGGCATCTGAGCCAATCCAGACATTATTATCGGGATCCCTGGACCAGTACTGAGACGTCAACAAATTTTAGCCCGCTGTCAGCTGAATCTGGGTCACAGGAGTGCAGAACTAAGTGACCCACAAGAGAAGTATGACAGCTTTGGCATACTTCTCTAAAATACACAGAAACCAGATATGGAAGTAGCTCCAGGTTGCAGGGCAATTCTTTTTTTTTTTCCCCATCAGGACTTACCTTACAAAACCTTCTTTACCAAAGTCCAGACCGGTGGGTACAAGTTTGACATTTCGTTTCTTCAAGGCGTAGTCCACCACACACTCATTCTCTTCCACCTGCAGTCACAAATTAGAGAATTACAGGGAGGAAGGCGACAGAAGTCCATGTCAATGTGTATCTAAGACTCAAAATGTAAAATTATCTTTCCATTTTCATTACACACATTACTTTTAGACAAAGTAATATCACTGGGTCTCCGTGTTTTTCTATGCAATGCAGGCAGATCATAGATGGTGGGAGGGGCCAGCAGGGTGCAGTATATAGCTTCCAGAAAACATCCTGCCTCAGTACTCCTCTCAAGAGCCCTCAGTCCTGATCCAAGCAGGAAATATCATCATGGAAATGTCAAAATGCCCTGATGGGTGGATGTCAGTCTAGAGGAGTGCATGATTCTAGGCAGTTTGCATGAAAGTCACTAGTGGTGTCCCAAAATGAAAATTCTGGTGCCGAAACCGAAGATTCAAAATGCACTTGGCCGAAAACCGAAACCGAAATGTGCAGTTTTTAAAAATGAATATATATTTTTTTGAAAACAAATACACATTAAAAAAAAAACAAAAAAACCCCAATATATACCCCAATTGTTTTGTAAAATATGAAAGAGGATGTTACAGCGAGTAAATAGATACCCAACATGTCACACTTTAAAATTGCGCACGCTCGTGGGATGGCGTGAAACTGCGGTACTTAAAAATCTCCATGGGTGATGCTTAAACATGTATACAGGTTAGCCGTGTAAAGATACAGAGGAGATCCAGTGCGAAAATTATTGCTCCGATGTTCGTGGTGATACCTCATGTGTGTGGTTTGAACATCATTTACATATGTGGGCGTGGCCTATGTATGTGTTCACCACTATGTGTGAGCATGGGGGGGGCGGGGGCACTTTGAATTAATTAAAGAAAAAATGTTTCTTTTTTTTTGCACTTCTCTTTAAAAAAAAAAAAAAAAGGTGGGATAAAAATAATTAGTGACAGGTCCTCTTTATGGAGAGATGTGGGGTCAATAAGACCCCACATCTCTCCTCTGCATTGTAAAGCATTGGATCAAAAAAAAAAAAAAAAAAAAGCATTGATCTAGCGCTTTAAGAAAAAAAAACGTCCAGAACGGGAATAGAGATGAGTGGCGGCCATCTTTCCTTCACTCATCTCTATGCCCAGCGACAGGATCGATGGTTTCTCAGGTAAGGCTGAACTACCGAGAGGCGGGGTTTACAGCACCTTAACGCCTAAGCACAATTTTACAACTTTGACATGTGTTAGTAAAAACCATACATATCATCACAGCAGTGGCTAAATGGTTAGAACTTCCGCCTGGCAGTATTGGGGTCGTTGGTTCAAATCCCAACCACAGCACTACCTGCCTGGAGTTTCCATGTTCTCCCTGTGCCTGCGTGGGCTTCCTCCGGGTACTCCGGTTTCCTCCCACACTCCAAAGACATGCTGGTAGGTTAATTGGCTCCTGTCTAAATTGTCCCTAGTATGTGTATGTATGAATGTGAGTTAGGGACCTTAGATTGTACGCCCCTTGAGGGTTAGGGACCTTAGATTCTACACCCCTTGAGGGTTAGGGACCTTAGATTCTACGCCCCTTGAGGGTTAGGGACCTTAGATTGTATGCCCCTTGAGGGTTAGGGACCTACGCCCCTTGAGGGTTAGGGACCTCAGATTGCACGCCCATTGAGGGTCAGGGACCTTAGATTGTACGCCCCTTGAGGGTTAGGGACCTTAGATTTACACCCCTACCTTAGATTGTACCCCTTGAGGGTTAGGGACCTTAGATTCTACACCCCTTGAGGGTTAGGGACCTTAGATTACGCCCCTACTTAGATTGTACGCCCCTTGAGGGTTAGGGACCTTAGATTCTACACCCCTTGAGGGTTAGGGACCTTAGATTCTACACCCCCCTTGAGGGTTAGGGACCTTAGATTCTACACCCCTTGAGGGTTAGGGACCTTAGATTCTACACCCCTTGAGGGTTAGGGACCTTAGATTGTATGTACCCCTTGAGGGTTAGGGACCTCAGATTGTTCGCCCCTTGAGGGTTAGGGACGCCCCTTGAGGGTTAGGGACCTCAGATTGTACGCCCCTTGAGGGTGAGGGACCTTAGATTGTACGCCCCTTGAGGGTCAGGGACCTTAGTTGTACGCCCCTTGAGGGTCAGGGACCTTAGATTGTACGCCCCTTGAGGGTCAGGGACCTTAGATTGTACGCCCCTTGAGGGTCAGGGACCTTAGATTGTACGCCCTTTGAGGGTTAGGGACCTTAGATTGTACGCCCCTTGAGGGTTAGGGACCTTAGATTGTACCCCCCTTTGAGGGTTAGGGACCCTGTACCCCCCTTGAGGGTTAGGGACCTTAGATTGTACCCCCTTGAGGGTTAGGGACCTTAGATTGTACGCCCCTTGAGGGTTAGGGACCTTAGATTGTACTCCCCTTGAGGGTTAGGGACCTTAGATTGTACGCCCCTTGAGGGTTAGGGACCTTAGATTGTACGCCCCTTGAGGGTTAGGGACCTTAGACCCCTTGAGGGTTAGGGACCTTAGTACGCCCCTTGAGGGTTAGGGACCTTAGATTTAGAGGGTTAGGGTACGCCCCTTGAGGGTTAGGGACCTTAGATTGTACTCCCCTTGATTGGGTTAGGGACCTTAGATTGTACGGCCCTTGAGGGTTAGGGACCTTAGATTGTACCCCCCTTGAGGGTTAGGGACCTTAGATTGTAAGCCCCTTGAGGGTTAGGGACCTTAGGCCCCTTGAGGGTTAGGGACCTTAGATTGTACGCCCCTTGAGGGTTAGGGACCTTAGATTGTATGTACCCCCTGAGGGTTAGGGACCTTAGATTGTACGCCCCTTGAGGGTTAGGGACTGATGTGAATGTACAATATATATGTAAAGCGCGGAGTAAATTGACGGCGATATACAAGTACCTGAAATAAACGACTTTGTACATCCGGGTGGATTATACCGCATTTTTTTCAGGACAAATTGGGCTTTCATTTGGTGGTAAATGGTAATGAATATCTCCTGATTTTTTTTTTTTTATCATCAAAGGAAAACTGGCCCAAAAGAGTAAAAAAAAATATTTTTTTTATTTAGCTGTGTGTTGGTAGGTTATGGGTAGTAACAAACAAAGAACAACCCAAAATCAATTTTCCAGCTCTTGACGATCGCAGCGATACCACATATGTGTATGTTATTGTTTGTACCCGGAGTACAGCCCAGAACAATAGTGCGCATTTTGTTTACCTAAAACACACGGACACTAACGCAGGCCATACACGGTTTGAATTACGAACGATTTTTCGTCCCAAAATCGAAAACGTTGTTCGTTCGGTAATCCCATGGCACCATCAATGATTTCGAAAGTCGGCCGACCAATTATAAAATTTACCCCATATAACAGGCGAAACTTCTGTTCCTTCCAGGTCACGGCTCAAGCGCGTATTCTTTTCAGAAAAATGATCGTACGATTTGACTTGAGTCGAAAATCTGGCGTTTTTTGCAAATTTTCCAACATACCCGATCACTGAAAAGGGAGGAACCACGAAAATCGGCCGGTACCATTGACCCACTAACAGAGCGAAAATCGGCCGATTATTCTAAGGTCTGATTTTTGGATGAAAAATTGAACAAATTTCGACCCATGTATGTATGGCCGCCATTACCGACACGAATACCAATTTTTTTAAATCCTGACCTTTGACCCAAACACTAACCCTGGCACTGAACTAGGTCAAACCTTGATCTAGGTATTTTTTCTTTTCTTTTTTTAATATTTATCTTTTTTTTTTACCTCCATGCCAGAAGTTAGAGAGATACAATGTATCTCTCTCCTCCATTCTTATGCAGGCCATTCATGGTTCGAATTCCGAATGATTTTTCGTCCGAAAATCGAAACGTTGTTCGTTCTGTAATCCGATGGTGCTACCAATGATTTTGAAAATTGGGTTGTTTTTCACAAATTTTCCAGCATGCCCGATAAACGAAATGGGGAGGAACCACGAAAATCAGCCGATGCCATCGCCCCACTAACAGAGAGAAAATCGACCGATCTTAGGTCCGATTTCCGGACGAATTCGGTCGAATTTCGACCCATGTATGGCCGGCATAACTATGTCATGACACGGGTTCTGGGGCTGATTAAGGTGGTAGTTAAACTTAGTGCCTTCTCTGCATTAAATTATCCCCAGAACCTGTGTAATCTATATGTGTTCGGGTGTACAGGGATGAGATGGCAACTCTAACGCCAGCACCCATAGCTATTCTTAGGTCCGATGTTCGTACGAAAATCGTTCGGAATTTGAACCATGTATGGCCTGCTATAGAGAGAAAAAAAAAAAAAAAAACAAGGGAGCCGGGCTTGTCAGTGACTGATCACTGTGAAAGCCAATCAGAGGCTATTACAGCAATCATGTGACCCGGAATCGGGAGTCCCGGGTCCCGATCGGGACCCAAGGCTCTCAGTGACACCCCGGTATTTGTGCTGGGAGTGAACAGCAGAAAGATAGGTGCGCAAATACGCGGCCCCATGTTGGTGTCATGGGGTTAAGCAAGAGAGATGACCATCTGTATGCAGATTATCTACCACCGTGGGCACCAAGCCAAACCTGAGCGCTTGCTTCCTGGGCATAAAGGTAAAGCCCACAGAGGGAGAACAATGCCTTTCTGCTTGTGCCCATCATCCGTCCTCCTAAGGGCAAGAGCTTACACTGGGACTAAGCTGTACATACAGGTATGACTTACAAAAGGAGAACCAATGCCTACTGTCTTTGTTCCTTGGGACAGGTTTATTCTGCATAGATCTGCCCCCCAATATACAGAGAAATGACAGTTGCTCAACCTACCTTCCTTCATATATTTTTTACAGTCCCAGGCAGAACATGGAAAGACCCCACGCATACATAGCTTCATTACAATTTAGTGACACCCTCCACGGGGGGTTTATATTTTTGCAGTAAAAGGAAAGCATCTCATGTCCATGTCACTGAAATGAAGGAAACAGACTCACTGTAATAGAACACGTGCAGTAGACCAGGAATCCTCCGGCCGATGATTGGGCATCCAAGGAGTCGATGGCACTCAGGATCAGCTCCTTCTGAATGTGGGCGCAGCGCTGTATGTCCAGTAGGGTCTGCAGGAGGAAGTAATGAATGGTAATACGCAGCAGGATCTTTTTCTCCTTAAACCCTTCACGCCGGCGCCTCCCGGCCCTTTAAGGGTTCCAGGAGCCGGGAGGCGGGCGGAGTTTAGGGTCATGTGACCGCCGTGACGCGCCGTCACATGATTTGGAAAGGTCCCGATCGAAAGAGAAGATCGGGATCTTTCCGTGAGTACCGGACATGTGCTGGCTCTGCACATATGTCCTTTAACAGAATGCAAATGTGCGGCCGCTCGGTATCTAGGCCCAGACGCCAGGAGGCCGCACATTTGTGTGTGGCCGGTGTGAAGAGGTTAAAATGTTGGAATTGTTCACTACTGATGCTCCCCGATCAGCCGAAGGACTAACGCTTGGCTCCCGTGCTGAACAGCCGCGTGATACATGAACACAAGAGGTCAGCTGCTCAGCACGGGTAACATTCAGAGAATCTGTTACATTTTGTAAATTAATGAAAATCAATCTTTGGTCGGACAAGGTGGCGCGCGTGACGTCACCATTCAGTGACTTTTTTCACTAATGGTTTTCCTTTTTCTTCTTTGGAGTACTTAGGATAACCAGGTAGACTGAAAACTCAGATCAGATGTCAGGTGCTCCATACCAACCTCTGCAGGTTCTCCACTACTAAGGCTCCATTATAACAGGTATGACTTCCAATTATAACAAGAATGGAGCCTTAGTAGTGGAGAACCTGCAAACGTTGGTATGGAGCACCTGACATCTGATCTGAGTTTTCAGTCTACCTGGTTATCCTAAGTACTCCAAAGAGGAAAAAGAAAAACCATTAGTGAAAAAAGTCACTGAATGGTGACGTCACGCGCGCCACCTTGTCCGACCAAATACTGATTTTCATTGATTTACAAAATGTAACAGATTCTCTGAATGGCACCCGTGCTGAGCAGCTGACCTCTTGTGTTCAAGTATCACGCCGGCCGTTCAGCACGGGAGCCAGAAGATAGTGGAGATCACTGAAGTACCAGTGTAGTAGCAGCATCTACTTCAGTGATTTCCATCTTCCAGGGGGATTGGCTTGTTATTGCATATACATGGTTACACTGGTACAACCTGGACCAACAACTATGTAAAAACTTCATCCCTGGAATTCTTCTTGTCCCCCGGTTCACATCTGTGCGGGTGGTGCCACTGTGGATCTGCACGAAAATCCATGCAGCCGCACCACCCACACAGAGGAATGCGGACCCGTGGGTGGGTGCCATTAGTTCTAATGGCACGCCACGTGCACTGGGAAATGAAATCGTACTGGGAACCGAGGTTCCTGTGCGGGCTGCGTTTTCCAAAGTAGTGCAGGGACATCTTTCCCTGCGTGTCACAGGCATGGGAGTCCATTCAAATGAATGGTGGGCTCTCGTGCCCGTGCAAAATGAGGCCTACACTGCCGCAAAGGTGTGAACCGGGGGTGAAGAGCCTTGATCTCTTGATTTGCACTGATTGCCACGGTTCACATGACTGTCATATGCCTTTAAGTGTTCTTTGTATTTTGTCTCTGCTCCTCCCTTTCCTTCGGTTTAGTTCATGCTGTATAGATAGCCCCACCCCTTTGTTTATTTTCCCAGTAATGCACCTGAGCTTCAAGCCTCATGTCTCATGAAGTAGATCACATTATGATCTTTTTGACCTATCCGATGTTCATTGTTGTAAGATTCTCTCAGTTTACGGAATAAACTTCACAAGATCTACAAGGTGTCGTCTGGATCGAGTCACTGCCTGCGTTATCCAACTAAGATTGGAGTTATCGCTATCTCATCACAACTGTAAGTTACAGAGATCACACTATCAATGCTTAGATTGGAGAGACAGAACACTGATTGGTCTAATTACATGCGGGGGGGGGGGCAATAAACTCAAGCCTCACAGTAGAAAGTAGCACAGTGGTTAGTTGCATTGTCATGAACAGGGGCAGACTGACCATTTGGAAACTCAGGCACTGCCCGAGGGCCCGGGGTCAGTAGGGGGCCCCATGAGATGCCCCTGATTCCTTTTTCATAGGCTTTTTTGAGTTTGGGCAAGGACACAGGGGCCCAATGATCCCCTATTGCCTGGGGGCCCCATGAGTTGTCAGTCCGCCCCCGGTCATGAACCATCTGTTTCCTTGTTTACCTTGTTGGTTTTTACTGCCGGATCTTTGCTGATGACGCCGGTCCCACTGCATGGGGCATCCAAGAGCACCCGATCAAACCCCCCAAGGACCTGGAAACAATACAGTATTAGAGGTGTAAGGATTAGTAGGGAAAAAAAAAAATAAAATAAAGCAAAATACTACACAGTCAGCAGAGGGCGCTTCTGTGTCTCCTAGCATGACTTAATCAACTGGCCTTCGGATCTCTAATCACGGGAATCTAAGAGACAATTAAACTGCAATCTGCACATATTAGTGAATATCAGGATGCCCCACCTGACAATCTGATCCAAGCTACCCTAACAGGCAGTGCTCATCACCCCCGCCCTCTCAGAGGCAGCACGGACAGACCCCTGTGGGTGAATAGTGGGGGACAGGTGCCCACACAGGGTAATCCACGCCAAGCACCCCATTCATCATGATCAAAAAATGATTCCAGTGTTCCAGCTGCAATGCTCTATGCCCTTAGAACAAGAAGAGAGCTCATGTACTTACCTCTCAGGCACCCTGCACCCTCTACTTCCCCTTCTTTCAGCACTGCAGCCTCCATCAGTCTCTTCAACAATCACCATTTCTGGGAGTGTCTGATGGCTGTGTACCATGACATGCCCTGCCGTTCCTTCCTCTGAGTCCTATATCATGGCTGTGTCCTGTAGTTATAAAGGAACCAGCCCATTCATAAAATGAATGCTGCAATGCAAAGTGTGACCAGGCCCTCCTTCCTAATGTTTCTCTTCATTTATCTTAAACAAGGAGGGACACAGCGCACATTAGTAGTGCGCACTGCTGGACTTTACCCTCTTCCCGTCCGGCCCATGTCGATCAACGGCCAGACGGGGAGCGCTGCCGATGCGGGGGGGACGTTTCTAAATGCCTGCGCGGCACTGCGATTGGTGCACAGAACACAGCACGCTGTACGGGACCTCACTGTGAATAGTTGTAAACTATCGTGACATCATTGCTTACTACTTGTGAAATCTGTGAATGATCAACAGAGGTCACATGGTACAGGGCTATTCACAACAGCCTTGTAACATGTGACAACATGTGGGAGACCAGATATAGTGAATGCGGGGTCCGGGGGGAGCGGATATAATGAATGCGGGGTCCGGGGAGAGCGGATATAGTGAATGCGGGGTCCGGGGAGAGCGGATATAGTGAATGCGGGGTCCGGGGAGAGCGGATATAGTGAATGCGGGGTCCGGGGAGAGCGGATATAGTGAATGCGGGGTCCGGGGAGAGCGGATATAGTGAATGCGGGGTCCGGGGAGAGCGGATATAGTGAATGCGGGGTCCGGGGAGAGCTGATATAGTGAATGCGGGGTCCGGGGAGAGCAGACACAGTGAATGCGGGGTCCGGGGAGAGCAGACACAGTGAATGCGGGGTCCGGGGAGAGCAGACACAGTGAATGCGGGGTCCGGGGAGAGCAGACACAGTGAATGCGGGGTCCGGGGAGAGCAGACACAGTGAATGCGGGGTCCGGGGAGAGCAGACACAGTGAATGCGGGGTCCGGGGAGAGCAGACACAGTGAATGCGGGGTCCGGGGAGAGCAGACACAGTGAATGCGGGGTCCGGGGAGAGCAGACACAGTGAATGCGGGGTCCGGGGAGAGCAGACACAGTGAATGCGGGGTCCGGGGAGAGCAGACACAGTGAATGCGGGGTCCGGGGAGAGCAGACACAGTGAATGCGGGGTCCGGGGGAGAGCAGACACAGTGAATGCGGGGTCCGGGGAGAGCGGATATAGTGAATGCGGGGTCCGGGGAGAGCGGATACAGTGAATGCAGGGTCAGGGGAGAGCAGACACAGTGAATGCGGGGTCCGGGGAGAGCGGATATAGTGAATGCAGGGTCCGGGGAGACCGGATATAGTGAATGCAGGGTCCGGGGAGACCGGATATAGTGAATGCAGGGTCCGGGGAGACCGGATATAGTGAATGCAGGGTCCGGGGAGACCGGATATAGTGAATGCAGGGTCCGGGGAGACCGGATATAGTGAATGCAGGGTCCGGGGAGACCGGATATAGTGAATGCAGGGTCCGGGGAGACCGGATATAGTGAATGCAGGGTCCGGGGAGACCGGATATAGTGAATGCAGGGTCCGGGGAGACCGGATATAGTGAATGCAGGGTCCGGGGAGACCGGATATAGTGAATGCAGGGTCCGGGGAGACCGGATATAGTGAATGCAGGGTCCGGGGAGACCGGATATAGTGAATGCAGGGTCCGGGGAGACCGGATATAGTGAATGCAGGGTCCGGGGAGACCGGATATAGTGAATGCAGGGTCCGGGGAGACCGGATATAGTGAATGCAGGGTCCGGGGAGACCGGATATAGTGAATGCAGGGTCCGGGGAGAGCGGATATAGTGAATGCAGGGTCCGGGGAGACCGGATATAGTGAATGCAGGGTCCGGGGAGACCGGATATAGTGAATGCAGGGTCCGGGGAGACCGGATATAGTGAATGCAGGGTCCGGGGAGACCGGATATAGTGAATGCAAAGTACGGGGGGACCAGATATAGTGAATGCGGGGTTCGGGGGAGAGCAGATATAGTGAATGCGGGGTTCGGGGAGAGCAGATATAGTGAATGCGGGGTTCGGGGAGAGCAGATATAGTGAATGCGGGGTTCGGGAAGAGCAGATATAGTGAATGCGGGGTTCGGGGAGAGCAGATATAGTGAATGCAGGGTCCGGGGGGAGCAGATATAGTGAATGCAGGGTACGGGGGGACCGGATATAGTGAATGCAGGGTACGGGGGGACCGGATATAGTGAATGCAGGGTACGGGGGGACCGGATATAGTGAATGCAGGGTACGGGGGGACCGGATATAGTGAATGCAGGGTACGGGGGGACCGGATATAGTGAATGCAGGGTACAGGGGGAACGGATATAGTGAATGCAGGGTACGGGGGGAACGGATATAGTGAATGCAGGGTCCGGATATAGTGAATGCAGGGTCCGGGGAGACCGGATATAGTGAATGCAGGGGTCCGGGGGGACCGGATATAGTGAATGCAGGGTCCGGGGGGACCAGATATAGTGAATGCAGGGTCCGGGGGGACCAGAAATAGCGAATTCAGGGTCCGGGGGGACCAGAAATAGCGAATTCAGGGTCCGGGGGGACCAGAAATAGCGAATTCAGGGTCCGGGGGGACCAGAAATAGCGAATTCAGGGTCCGGGGGGACCAGAAATAGCGAATTCAGGGTCCGGGGGGACCAGAAATAGCGAATTCAGGGTCCGGGGGGACCAGAAATAGCGAATTCAGGGTCCGGGGGGACCAGATATAGCGAATTCAGGGTCCGGGGGGACCAGAAATAGCGAATTCAGGGTCCGGGGGGACCAGAAATAGCGAATTCAGGGTCCGGGGGACCAGAAATAGCGAATTCAGGGTCCGGGGGGACCAGATATAGCGAATTCAGGGTCCGGGGGGACCAGATATATATCTGTAGGTCTCATCCACAGGTGCGTACTACAACATACACCCCTGCCAAGGCCGTGTTTACCCTCATGGGGATGCCAAGGTGTTTTGTGCATCCCCGTGCGCACAATCCCATTCATGTCAACTGGAAGGCAGCAACAGTGTGTAATTGGGGTCGTTCAGCTGCACGACTGTCAAACTGGAAGCGGCGTCAGTGTCCAGGCAGTTGCTGGGTCCCAGTTGACATGAACAGAACAGAACCGCCGTAACAGAGGACAAGGGGGCGCTCTTTATGTCTAGAGGAAAAGAAATTTAACCTCCAGAGTTGGTTGTGTCCAGCTCAGTGGATTGCTGTAGGAAAGTCCTGGATTCTTTCTTGGATACACAGAATATAACTGGATATAACATTTATAGGGAAAGGTGATCCAGGGAATATCCGATTGCCTCTCGGGGATCAGGAAGGAATTTTTTTCCCAGCAGGAGCAAATTTGGTCGTGCTTTGCTGGGTTTTTTTTTTGCCTTCCTCTGGATCAACTGCGGGTGTAGAATTATCTTTTTTTTTTTTTAATGGTTGAACTGGATGGACTTTTGTCTTTTTTCAGCCAGACTAACTATGTAACTTCCTGATAAATTCAACTCAAGTACCAATAACAGAGAAACACCGCTAACTTTCTCTGTAGGACAGGATAGAATGGAGGCAGGGGCTGATGGAAGTTATAGGGAAGAGGAAGTTCTTTCTTCCTGTTGTCAGTGTATTGTCTCCCGGAGCAGAGACCTTACACCCCCTTCCAGGGTGCACAGCGCCCCCCCCCCTGGGAGCACAGCGCCCCGCCTCTCCGGGAGCACAGCGCCCCGCCTCTCCGGGAGCACAGCGCCCCGCCTCTCCGGGAGCACAGCGCCCCGCCTCTCCGGGAGCACAGCGCCCCGCCTCTCCGGGAGCACAGCGCCCCCCCTCTCCGTGAGTATCTGGCAAGTCACTTCCACAGTGACAGATCAACCTAACGTCATGGCTCCCCTCTACACCCGTTCTTACTACACCGGTCACATCGCTCACCTTAGGGATCTGCCGACCGTCATAATTGGAGACTATAGAGTTGGTGACGCCCAATCTGTGTAAATTTCCCACCACACTCCGGAGGCGCTCTGCATTCATATCATTGGCGACAATAACACCTGTGTTCTTCATCAGCTGGGCTGTGGGCGGTAATATCACAGTTTACAATCATAACATCACGCATGACAAAACCACATCACCTTTAACAGTTTTCAATCACGCACACTCCTAGGCAACAAGTCATTTTATTTTTTTTCTCCTTTGCCAACACTCACCGATATAACTGGTCTTCCCGCCGGGAGCGCAGCACATGTCCAGCACCCGTTCATTCTCTTGAGGTGCCAGAGCAATGACTGGCAACATGCTGGACGCACCCTGTAGCATGTAGTGACCGGCCAGGTACTCGGGGGTGGCACCTGGGAGGAAAGGACATTAATTACACGGAGCCCAAAGACAACAGAAAGTAGGGATGCACCGAAATTTTGGTGGCCGAAACCTTTTGGCCGAAAACACCCCTTTCGGCTGAAAGAAAAAAAAAAAAAAAAAAAAAAAAAAAAAAAAAAAAAGCACCAATACAGGTGCCGAAAAAACCTCACCCCTCGTTGCTGCCACCGGCTGCCGCTTGGTAGTTCTCAGCCTTACCTGAGAAACCATCGAACGATCCCGGCACTGGGCATAGAGATGAGTGAAGGAAAGATGGCCTCCACTCATCTCTATGCCCTTGGAGGACCGGAGCGATGTCGCTTCCGGTTACGGACATTTTTTTTTTTTTTTTAAATCACTAGATCATTTTTTTTTGATCCAATGCTTTACACTGCAGAGGAGAGACGTGGGGTCTTATTGACCCCACATCTCTCCATAAAGAGGACCTGTCACTAATTATTTCTATCACAAGGGATGCGTGCATTTCTTGTGATAAGAATAAGTGATTACATTTTTTTTTTTAAAGGGACAGTGCAAAATAAACACCCCAAAACATTAAATAAATAAAAAAGTTTAAAGTTCCCTCGTCCCCCGTGCTCGCAGGTAGTGAACACACACGGAGGCCACGTCCACATATGTAAATGGTGTTCAAACCACATACGTGAGGTATCACCACGAACGTCGGAGCAATAATTCTTGCACTAGACCTCCTCTAACTTTACACTGCTAACCTGTAAACACTTTTAAAGCATCACCCATGGAGATTTTTTAAGTACTGCAGTTTCACGCCATTCCACGAGCGTGCGCAATTTTAAAGTGTGACATGTTGGGTATCTATTAACTCGCCGTAACATCCTCTTTCATAGTTCACAAAAAAATTGGGGTATATATTGTTTTTGTTTATTCAAAGTGTATTTTTTTAATAAATAAAAATATATATTCATTTTCAAAAACTGCGCATTTTGTTTCCGGCTTTCGGCCAAGTGCATTTTCGGTACCAGATCTTTCATTTCAGCGCACCACTAACAGAAAGCACCATTATTCTCACTTCCTGATAACCTCACCGATCGGTACAGATGAATCAAAGATGACAAGTCCAGTCTTCGACCATTTACCCAACGGGTCCAGATTTACTCCACGATTAATTAGAGCCTAGTACAGGGAAGAGGAAAAAAGATTCCAGTTATGTTACCGGTATGCAATGCCTGACAAACTCTCATTTGCCCCCTTTTGAAGCCTGATAATCGAACCCTAATCTTGTGCGAAGGTTACATCCTGTGCTCTCTGACTGCCGAATTATCAGTTACAGCATAAAGGAGTACACCCCTTTTAAAAAATTAAGATTTTAATCAATATCTCAATGAACAGAACATGTTGACAGAACTGATTTATAGAACATTTGTTCGGCTCATTACATGACAGTAAGGTTCATATTATATCTTCGATTACAAAATCTTCAGTTTTACTCAAATGAGTTGATGCAAAAATGAATCCACTCCGCAACAAAAACTCCTCCATCTAGTATTTTGTATGACCTCCATGATTTGTAAGGACAGCACCAAGTCTGCTAGGCATGGAATGAACAAGTTGGCGACTTATTGCAACATCGATCTTTTTCCATTCTTCAAGAACGACCTCTTTTAGATTCTGGATGGAGAGTGTTGCTCCACTTGTCTCTTCAGAATTCCCCATAGGTGTTGGATTGAGTTCAAATCAGGAGACATACTTGGCCACCGATTCACTGTCACCCGGTTCTTCTTCAGAAATGCAACAGTGGCCTTAGATGTGTGTTTTGGATCATTGTCATGATGGAAAAGTGCACGACGACCGAGGGCACGGAGTGATGGGAGCATCTTCTCTATTAATATAGAGCAGTACATCTGTGAATTCATGACACCATCAATGAAATGCAGCTCCCCGACACCAGCAGACCTCATGCAGCCCCACAGGAGGACACTGCCACCACCATGTTTTCACAGTAGGCACCATGCATTTTTATCACCTTTGTGATGCCATACAGTTTTGAAGCGATCAGTTCCAAAAACATTTATCTTGGTCTCATCATTCCAGAGTACAGAGTCCCAGTAGTCGTCTTTTTCAGCATGGACAAATTCTAGGCAGGCTTTTTTGTGCATGGGCTTTAGGAGAGGCTTCCTTCATGGATGACACCCATGCATGCCATTCCTCTGCAGTGTACGCCGTATTGTGTGGGAAACAATCACCCCGGTTTGGCTTTCTACTTCTTTAGCTAACTGTAGTGAACTTGCATGGCAATTTTCTTCAACCCTTCTCATCAGAAGACGCTCCTGTCGAGGCTTTAACTTCCATGGACATCCCGGACGTCTCTGTGAGATGGTTGCAGTTCCATCTTTGTCAAATTTTTGTATAATTTTTGCCACAGTATTCTGACCGATAAGTAAAGCTTTGCTGATCTTCTTGTAGCCTTCACCTTTCTTGTGTAAAGAAATAATTTTCTTTCTCAGGCCTTGTGACATTTCTCTTCTCTTTCCCTGGTGCCATTGCTGACAGCATGAAATGGGCGGGGTTTTCTTTGTTAACTAACACCCTTTTATAATCACCTGTCTGCTGGACACCTGTTTAATGAATAATTAGACTCACCTGAAGTTGGTGATTGGGATTTTGTTGTCTAAAATTTAGCTTTGCTCCTAAGACGATCATTGGGGTGTAATCATTTTTGCAACATGGTCTTGAATGAATTTGTTAGGAAAAATATTTATGCGTGCAAATTAACAAATCTTGTTTGCAATCAACAGCCGGCATTTGTGGGAGTATTTTGTAGTATAGTGTCCCATAGAAAATCTACAAGTAAATAAGGGCACACATTTTTCCCCAATGGTACGATCCTTTAAATATTGCAAAAATAAAAAAGCATTAAGCCTAATAAATGGGACATCAACACGTGTGATATGCAAGTTTCAAACTACAAATCTAAGATAACAGAAAGTATATGGCTGCTACAGATGCAACTCATATTGGTGCAAGAAAAAGATAAAATATAGAAATCTGTTAATCGTCAACGTAGACTTCTATGGATGATTCTATCCAGGAGGTTGTCCTGTACCTGAGCCAGGTCACGTCTTCTTGTCTTCAAGGTGTTGGTCCTGATAGTGACCGGACGGTGGACCTCGCACGCCTCCAGAAAGTCAACCAGCTAGAGAAAGATGAGGAGAGATAGATTAGCAGTCTGTTGAAGAGGACACAACACAATCGTTGGGAGGAAACCCGTCCATATTCTAACAGGAGAAGTTCCCCATGACTGGCGGACAGCTAAATGTACCAATCCACAAGAAGGGCAGCAAGGTAGAAGATGGCAAATACAGGCCAAGAGTCTAACATCGGTTGTAGTCAGGTTAATGGAATCTCTCCTGAAAAGAAGGATCATTGATCACCTAAAAACACACAACTTGCTGGATCTAAAGCAGCATGGCTTTACCAAGGGCAGATCATGGCAGACTAGTCTGTTTGGATTTTTTGCCTCTATTGCCAATGTTTTGGACCCGGGTAGTGCTGTGGACGTGGCATATCTTTATCTCAGCAAGGCATGTGATACAAGTCCACATGACGACCTAATGCAAACATTGGACATGCTAGGGCTTGGCTCTTGGGTGGCTCAGTGGATATGCAGCTGGCTACAGGATAGATACCAGAGTGTGGTTGTAAATGGGGTTCACTCAGAAAAGAGACCAGTCACTAGTGGTGTACCCCAAGGCTCTGTACTGGGTCCTGTTCCATGCAATCTATATGTAAGTGATAGAACTAAAAGTTTGTTGGGTAAAGGGGGATGTCCCTTTGCTGATGACACAGAGGTATGCAATAGGGTTGATATCCCTGGAGGTTTCTGTAACATGGAAAATGATTTGGCATTGCTGGAATATTGGTCACAAAAGTGGAAATTGCAGTTTAAGGTTTCTAAATGTAAAATAATGCACCTAGGGAAAAAGAATCTCTTGAGAAGGTACAACATTGGGGGTACAGTGTTGGCCAGCACTACAGAGGAAAAGGACTCGGGGAGTACTTATTTCAGATGATTGCAAAATAAGCAAACAGTGTGGCCAGGCAGTGGGGAAAGTGAATAGAATTCTAGGATGCATCACTAGAGGGGTCACTGGCAGGAGGAAGGAGGTCCTGAATCCTCTATGTAGATCTTTATATTACTAGAGATATCACCAGCAGGAGGAAGGAGGTCCTGATTCCTCTATATAGATCTTTATATTACTAGAGATATCACCAGCAGGAGGAAGGAGGTCCTGATTCCTCTATATAGATCTTTATATTACTAGAGATATCACCAGCAGGAGGAAGGAGGTCCTGATTCCTCTATATACAGTGAAGGAAATGCGTATTTGCTCCCCTGCTGATGTTGAATGTTCTCCCCTCACACAGAAATGATCGGTCTAAAAATCGAATGTTCGGTGTATTGTAACACCGAAAGACAGAATAGCGACAACAAATTCAGCAGAAATGCGTCTAACAAATGATGACGGATCTGCATGTTCATGAGGGAAATAAGTATTTGATTCCCTTCACAACACATGACTTAGTACTGGGTGGCAAATCCCTTGTTGGCAATCACAGAGGTCAGACATTTCCTGGAGTTGGCCCCCAGGTTTGCACACATCTCAGGAGGTATTTTGGCCCACTCCTCTAGGCAGATCCTCCCCAAGTCATTAAGGTTTGGTGGCTGACATTTGGCAACTCAAACTTTCAGCTCCCTCCACAGATTTTCAGTCGGATTAAGGTCTGGAGACTTGCTAGGCCACTTCAGGACCTTAATGTGCTTCTTCTTGAGCCACTCCTTTGTTGCCTTGGCCATTTGTTTTGGGTCATTGTCATGCTGGAACACCCATCCACGACCCATTTTCAATGCCCTGGCTGAGGGAAGAAGGTTCTCACCCAAGATTTGATGGTACATTGCCCCGTCCATCGTCCCTTTGATGTGGTGCAGTTGTCCTGTCCCCTTAGCAGAAAAACACCCCTAAAGCAGAATGTTTCCACCACCATGTTTCACAGTTGGGATGGTGTTCTTGGGGTCATAGGCAGTATTCCTCCTCCTCCAAACACGGCGAGTTGAGTTGATGCCAAAGAGCTGGATTTTGGTCTCATTTACCACAACACATTCCACCAGTCCTCCTCTGCATCATTCAGATGTTCAGTGGCAAACTTCAGACGGGCCTGGACATGTGCTTTCTTGAGCAGAGGGACCTTGCGGGCACTGCAGGATTTCAGTCCTTGTCGGCGTAGTGTGTTACCAATTGTTTTCTTGGTGACTGTGGTCCCAGCTGCCTGGAGATCATTGACAAGATCCTCACGTGTAGTTCTGGGATGATTCCTCACTGTTCTCATGATCATTGACACTCCACGAGGTGAGATCTTGTATGGTGCACCAGACCTAGGGAGACTGACACTTGTTTTGTGTTTCTTCCATTTGTGAATGATTGCACCAACTGTTGTCACCTTCTCACCAAGCTGCTTGGCGATAGTTTGGTAGCCCAGTCAAGCCTTGTGTAGGTCTACAATCTTGTCCCTGACATCCTTGGACAGCTCTTTGCCATGGTGGAGAGTTTGGAATCTGATGGTTTGATTGCTCCTGTGGACAGGTGTCTTTTATACAGGTAACACAATGAGATTAGCAGCACTCCCTTTAAGAGACTGCTTCTAATCTCAGCTTGTCACCTGTATGAAAGACACCTGGTAGCCAGAAATCCTGCTGAATGATAGGGGATCAAATACTTATTTCCCTCATGAACATGCAGATCAGTCATCAATTGTTAGACATGCATTTCTGCTGAATTTTGTTGTTGCTATTCCATCACTCAGTGTTACAATACACCGAACATTTGATTTTTAGACCGATCATTTCTTTGTGAGGGGCGAACATTCAAAATCAGCAGGGGAGCAAATACGCATTTCCTTCACTGTAGATCTTTATATCACTAGAGGGGTCACCGGCAGGAGGAAGGAGGTACCGATCCCTCGATATAGATCTTTAAATCACTAGTGGGGTCACCGGCAGGAGGAAGGAGGTCCTGATTCCTCTATATAGATCTTTATATCACTGGAGGGGTCACCGGCAGGAGGAAGGAGGTCCTGATTCCCCTATATAGATCTTCAGACCTCATTTACAATACTGTGTCCAGCTCTGGAGATCTCACTTACAAAAAGATATTGATAAGATAGAACGAGTCCAGAGACGGGAACAAAAATGGTGAAAGGTCGGGGGTGGGGGGGGGGGGGGGGGGGGGGGATAAAACATCAAGGGGGTGAATAGGGTTCAGGAGGGCGGGATTTTCAACATGAAACCTAAATCAAGAAAACAGAGACATGACCGGAAACTAACTGGAGGGAAGTTCAAAACTAATCTCAGAAAATACTACTTTACTGAAAGAGTAGTTAATGCTTGGAATAAACTTCCAGCAGAGGCAGTGAGCCAGTCAGCAGTAAATGGCTTCGTACATGAATGGGACAAGCACAGATCTGTACTCAGACCAAAAAGCGGGTGGGGGGGGGGGGGGGGGTCAGCAGGTACCTGAATTTGACAGGTACCCGCTCCCACTTCCGCTGCGATCGCCTAGGTGAACAGAAGCGGAAGTTGTCCTCCTACCCTCCCTCCCTGTGGTCTTCTGAGACACGTGACAGGTCCCAGAAGACTACAGGACCATTCAGGAAGCGCAGCGCTACTCGCACATGCTCAGTGGGTACCTGGCAGTGAAGCCGCAAGCTGACACAGCCGGGTGCCCACACTGAAGATGCCGGCACCTGGAATACAGGACGGCCGGTGAAACGGGCTGTGGGGAGGACACCACTGGAACGTGGGACAGGTAAGTGGCTGATTTTTAAAAGTCAGCAGCTACAGTTTTTGTAGCTGCTGACATTTTTTTACAGAGTGAGTGGAACTCGGCTTTAAGCAATAATCAGTCACACAGTAAAGCATGCAAAGGACTATAAAACAAAAATGGTGTAAACTTCAACTGAGATTCGACCCACAGATCATTCCCGGCACACACTCCCCTCCTCTACAAACACAGGACACCCTTCTCACCTCTGACACAGGGAACAGGTCACTGAGGATCTCCATCATAAAGGTACCATAACTGTAGTAAGTGGCCAGATCTCGGCGGAGCACGGCGAGATACTCCTGGCGGGAACGATCCCCTCCTCGGTTTGCAAAACTCTGTAATACGGCTACCACGTCCTTAATGCGGTCCTGCACTGCAGAGAGTTCCAGCGGTGCCGAGACTGAGAAATGAGTTAAGGATGCTACTGTGATGACAGCAGGCGAGGAGACCATAAAATACATCAGAGTGTATCTAAAGCAGCAGACAGATGTATTTCTATTTGTTTACTAAGACACCAGGTTAGGTAGCTAAGCACCCCCACTGCTACAGCAACAGGAGTGAGACTCCATGCCTGTGCTATGGGAACTGCAAGGCCGAATTCATCCCTCCTGCACCCGTCTATTGCCAGCAGTAAATTCTCGAGTAGCAAAGGATACGCTCCTTTTCCATCTCCGCTGAGGTCGGCAAGGTAAAGAGCTCCTCCGCATCAACATTCAGCTGGATATCGGAATCCCCTTTCTTCTCTTTCTCCCTGCATTGAATAAAGAACAATACACAGAATATAACATTTATAGGGAAAGTGGATCCAGAGAATATCCGATTGCCTCTCGGGGGATCAGGAAGGAATTTTGTTTCCAGCAGGAGCAAATTGGATCGTGCTTTGCTGGGTTTTTTTTCCTTCATCTGATTCAACTGTGAGTGTAGGATTATAAAACTTTTTTTTTTTTTTTTTTAATGGTTGAACTGGATGGACTTTTGTCTTTTTTCAGCCAGACTAACTATGTAACTATGATAAAGAATTAAAAGGAGCTGATTTTCTTTATCCAGTTCAGATCTACTCTGAGACAATAGAGGGAGAAGCTACCAACACACGTTCATATCTAAACCATGTCATGAGCGCTGCATCTGGAGACCCTCACAAATAGTTCGCTGGACTTCACATACAGTCAGGTCCACAAATATTGGGACATGGACACAATTCTAACATTTTTGGCTCTATACACCACCACAATGGATTTGAAATGAAAACGAACAAGATGTGCTTTAACTGCAGACTGTCAGCTTTAATTTGAGGGTATTTACATCCAAATCAGGTGAACGGTGTAGGAATTACAACAGTTTGCATATGTGCCTCCCACTTGTTAAGGGACCAAAAGTAATGGGACAATTGGCTTCTCAGCTGTTCCATGGCCAGGTGTGTGTTATTCCCTTATTATCCCAATTACAATGAGCAAATAAAAAGTCCAGAGTTCATTTCAAGTGTGCCATTTGCATTTGGAATCTGTTGCTGTCAACTCTCAAGATGAGATCCAAAGAGCTGTCACTATCAGTGAAGCCATCATTAGGCTGAAAAAAAAAACCCATCAGAGACATAGCAAAAACATTGGGCGTGGCCAAAACAACTTTTTGGAACATTCTTAAAAAGAAGGAACGCACCAGTGAGCTCAGCAACACCAAAAGACCGGGAAGACCACGGAAAACAACTGTGGTGGATGAGCGAAGAATTCTTTCCCTGGTGAAGAAAACACCCTTCACAACAGTTGGCCAGATCAAGAACACTCTCCAGGAGGTAGGTGTATGTGTGTCAAAGTCAACAATCAAGAGAAGACTTCACCAGAGTGAATACAGAGGGTTCACCACAAGATGGAAACCATTGGTGAGCCTCAAAAACAGGAAGGCCAGATTAGAGTTTGCCAAACGACATGTAAAAAAGCCTTCACAGTTCTGGAACAACATCCTATGGACAGATGAGACCGACATCAACTTGTACCAGAGTGATGGGAAGAGAAGAGTATGGAGAAGGAACTGCTCATGATCCTAAGCATACCACCTCATCAGTGATCATGGTGGTGGTAGTGTCATGGCGTGGGCATGTATGGCTGCCAATGGAACTGCTTCTCTTGTATTTATTGATGATGTGACTGCTGACAAAAGCAGCCGGATGAATTGTGAAGTGTTTCGGGAATATTATCTGCTCATATTCAGCCAAATGCTTCACAACTCATTGGACGCTTCACAGTGCAGATGGACAATGACCCAAAGCAGACTGCAAAAGCAACCAAAGAAGTGGAATGTTCTGCAATGGCCAAGTCCATCACCTGACCTGAATCCGATTGAGCATTTCACGTGCTGAAGACAAAACTGAAGGGAATACACTCAAATTAAAGCTGACAGTCTGCAGTTAAAGCACATCTTGTTCGTTTCATTTCAAATCCATTGTGGTGGTGTATAGAGCCAAAAATGTTAGAATTGTCCCAATATTTATGGACCTGACTGTACATGGTTTTGGAATAAGGGTGGAAGCGTAGACCCGGAGGAAACCCACGCAGGCACAGGGAGAACATGCAAACTCCAGGCAGGTGGTGCCGTGGTTTTGCATATTTATTGTACATTCACCTCAGTCCCTAATCCACAATGGGTTTATAATCTAAGGTTCCTAACTCACATTCATATATACACACACTAGGGACAATTTAGACAGGAGCCAATTCACCTACCAGCATGTCTTTGGAGTGTGGGAGGAAACCAGAGTACCCGGAGGAAACCCACACAGGCACAGGGAGAACATGTAAACTCTAGGCAGGTGGTGCCATGGCTGGGATTTGAACCATTGACCCGAATACTGCCAGGCGAAAGTGCTAACCATTTAGCCACTGTGCTGCCCCATAGAAAGGAAGCAGGTGGGGGTACATGCAAACACGCAAACTATATCATTTGTGTTTCTTACCTCTGAATCTTTTTCTTCTGTTTCCCAGCTGCTTTCTCTATGGGAAGAAGCTGAAATGAGAGAACGGAACGTCAAGGCACATTCACACTTAGGCACCAAGGTTACACACGTACAAAATGAATGGCACCTCAACACACTAAGGCCTGAGTTGCAGTTGAGCTGCGTTTTTACTCCTCAAAACTGCTCCCTCTTAAACCCCCGCCGGCGGTCTGATTATGTCAATATTTTTGAATGTCAAAGCGGTACATTGTTCTGCATGGAAATTTGTTGTTTTGTATTGTCGGCCTGTCAGTCTTAGGAATAACTCACTTAAATCTGTCCAAACAAGAGTCTAGTAAACATCCCGGTTAGGATAAAGTTTGAAACATGAAATCATAAATTATAATTTAATAAATTTAATTCAATAATATAATCAAACCAAAAACACTGAAATGTGAAATATAGCGCCAAGTTCGCACATCGCTGAGCACAATCGCAGAATCGTTTTCAGTGACTGATGAGGAATTTCCCCCACGAATCATTATCACTCAATTCTGCAAGTGGTTCTGATTTACTATCGCTGTTCTCTAGCCGGTCTAAAACCGCGTCTGACCTAAAGGGACGCTTTTTGGACGCCATGGACGTTTCTCAGTTTCCAGGCAGAAAGAACAGTAAAAATGCAGGCAGGGCGCCGGACAAAGCACTCGGGACAAAATGTATGTGAAATGGTTTGATACAGGAATGTTATACTATGTGATTTTAGTGTATTTAGTGAATGTCACATTTTTACATTTTTGAATTTCCCGCCGTTCCATCCCCCATACGTCCCGACGTCGCAGGGAACGGAATCCAGAAGATGGATGCCGGCATCCGCCGGAGGACATTACAGGGGACACTGCAGGGGGGACATCGCGGGAGAGCAGGACAAGATAAGTGCAGAAGGGATCCCGGAGCAACACTGCAGTGTATTCCCGAGTGTAGCTCGGGGGGGGGTTACCGCTTGTGGTGCTGAAACTTTACCCCGAGCTACACTCAGGAATACCGCCAGGGGGGTTAAAGCCTAGTGTGCCAACCATGAGAGTGGGGGGGGGCAACACTTTCTACCTGAGAGGGGGCACTTCACATATATTTACGTATTCACTCATTCCGCACAAGTTCTTCTCACATGGTGATTATCCTGTGGACTGATTTATTTGGACTTCTCTTTTGGAATATAATTATTATTGTAATTTCATCAACCATTTTCTTTGTGTTAAATATTTTTATTCACTATTATTTTTTTTTTTTATAGAGTTTTTGCACAGAAGATTGATGTATGCGACACCTAAATACTTGCTAAAGTGTTTTTTTTTTTTTTATCTCTATGCCCAGCGCCAGGATCGTTCGGTGGTTTCTCAGGTAAGGCCGACATCTACCAAGTAGCGGCAGCGGAGAGGTTATTTTCGTCACCTGTATCAGTGCTTTTTTTCATATCGGCCAACGGTTGGATAGGGGTGTTTTCGGAAGAAGTGGTTCGGTCACCGAAATTTCGGCGCACCCATGCTTGTTATATTCACTATGGAACCTAAGGGGTTAATCCTCTGTATTGTGTAAAAAGACTGATCCTGTCTTCTCTGTTCCTCCCCTTTTTCAAGCAACCACCTCTTATCTTTAGACTGAAAAATGGGCATGCACATGCTCAGTTTGGTGTGTATTGCTAGAGGTTTTTTTCTTTCATGGGAAAGTGCATGTGATCAGCACAGGGCCAATCAGCACTGTCCAGACAGAGGTCAAGGGATTTCCATTCTCCTAGAGCAGAAAGAAAACTCCTCCTACAAGCTTTAGCTAGTGTTGGGCTGGACACTGATAGACATCACAAGACTGCTATATACTGCTGATGAGAAAATGTATTTAGCTGTTTATATTTACTAAAAGAATTTTCCATGTTGTGCGTACCGTGGGAGACCAGATAGAGTGAATGCGGGGTCCGGGGAGAGCGGATAGAGTGAATGCGGGGTCCGGGGAGAGCGGATAGAGTGAATGCGGGGTCCCGGGGAGAGCGGATAGAGTGAATGCGGGGTCCGGGGAGAGCGGATAGAGTGAATGAAGGGGGGTCCGGGGAGAGCGGATAGAGTGGAATGCGGGGTCCGGGGAGAGCGGATAGAGTGAATGCGGGGTCCGGGGAGAGCGGATAGAGTGAATGCGGGGTCCGGGGAGAGCGGAGGATAGAGTGAATGCGGGGTCCGGGGAGAGCGGATAGAGTGAATGCGGGGTCCGGGGAGAGCGGATAGAGTGAATGCGGGGTCCGGGGAGAGCGGATAGAGTGAATGCGGGGGTCCGGGGAGAGCGGATAGAGTATGAATGCGGGGTCCGGGGGAGAGCGGATAGAGTGAATGCGGGGTCCGGGGGAGAGCGGATAGAGTGAATGCGGGGTCCGGGGAGAGCGGATAGAGTGAATGCGGGGTCCGGGGGAGAGCGGATAGAGTGAATGCGGGGTCCGGGGGAGAGCGGATAGAGTGAATGCGGGGTCCGGGGAGAGCGGATAGAGTGAATGCGGGGTCCGGGGAGAGCGGATAGAGTGAATGCGGGGTCCGGGGAGAGCGGATAGAGTGAATGCGGGGTCCGGGGAGAGCGGATAGAGTGAATGCAGGGGGTGTTTTTTTTCTTCTTTGGAATGGCTGCACTATGGCTTTATACATGGGGCCAAAAGTGTTAGCGACACGCTCGTTGAAAACAATGGGGTAGGAGTGACTTTTAACCCCTCGCCTCCAGAGGATCCCCCCCCTTCCTGACCAGGCCATCGTTTGCGTTACGACGCTGCGTTATTTAACTGACAATTGCGCGGACGTGCAACGCTGCACCCAAATTAAATTTGCATCTTTTTTTCCCCACAGATAGAGCTTTCTTTCAGTGGTATTTGATCTCCTGTGCATTTTTATTTTTTGTGCTATAAAACAAAAAAAATACCAAAAATTTTGAAGGAAAAATATATATATATTTTTGACTTTTTGCCATTAAACATATCCAGTAAAAAAAAAAAAAAAAAAAAAAAAAATCAAATTTCGTTATAAATTTAGGCCAAACTGTATTCTGTTTTATGTCTTTGCTAGAAAAAAAAAAAAATCCCAATGTGTGTAAATGAATCTGTTTACGTGAACGTTTATAGCATCTACAATTGGCGGTGTATATACTAGATTTTTTTTTTTTTTACACTATGGTGGTGATTAGTGACTGCGGCAGGCATTCTGACACTGGGGAGAACTATGTGCTATGCAGAGCCATACAAAGCAGTGTGCAGGAGCTGATGGATGAGATCTGTGTTGATCTGTGATTGACAGCCAAGGCCACAAATGGTGGCGCGAGTAGGGCGTGCGTGTGCCCCCTACCTGGAAATACAAAATCACGTGTATATACGTGGTTTTGCGCACCCGTGCCACCCTGTAGCAGTATTTAAAAGGTGAACAGACTCCTGGATGTAAAGGTGCCAATGTGTGAGACTTACATCCTCTTTTTCATCATCATCATCGTCCTCCGAGGAGCCTCCAAAATCATCCTGTAGGTCATCACTGTCTGAGAGATCCAGAGCACCAGCCGGTTCAACATCACTGCCTTCTTCCTCTCCACTCTCCTCTTCACCACTCTGCTCCTCTCCACTCTCTACTTCTTCCTTGTCGCCTGGCCGCTCCTCTGCACTCCCCTCCTCTCCGCTCTCTTCCTGGTCAAGCATCTCCTCCCCACTCTCCTCCTCGCTCTCCTCTTCCTTTCTCCTCTTCTTCACAGGTTTCAGCCACTCCGCATTCTCATCGCTGAAGCCGGCAGGCTTCCTCTTCCCTTTCAGATCCCCAGTGACAGCACCTATGGAAGAAATAAAAAGGATAAAAAGGACTGTTAAGGAACTGAATGAAAGAAAAAGCTAACTCAAAGCTCTCTTCACTCAAAGTAATGCTGTTGTAGTTCTCGATGGAACACAAGAGTGGTAATTATCGCACTTGTAGTTCATTGACACCTCCTTCAATCCTCTAAATCAGGGGTGTCAAACTCCATTTCACTGCGGGCCGTATCAGCATTATGGTTGCCCTCAAAGGGACAGTATCTGTAGACTGGATGTCCAGAACACCCCACCCCCCCATTACATCAGATATCAAGACTCCCACACCCTCCCTAACATCATCATGCACCCCCTTTGGGGACAGAGCTGTAAAGCAGAAAGCGCAGGGTCTGGAGGAGGACCAGAGGAGGAGTTGAGTCAGTTACCAAAGTCTGCTGAATGCTGAGACCAGGGGAGGCAGAGATGAGGTGGTGCTGCAGCTGCACTGAGAGGTGCAGGAGTTCTATGCTCCTCTCTGCTGAGACAAGGGGGTACCTGCTGCAGGAGGGGTGCAAGGGCCACATGAAATGGCCTGGAGGGCCGGATTCGGGCCCGCGGGTCTTGTGTTTGACACCTGTGCTCAAAATGAAAATGCAGCTCTCTGTCCAAACCTCTGTATGGGCTTAGCAAACTTTTTGTGCGCTATATAAAATACTGTATATATTAATAATACAGTTGGAGGAAGAGTCTGCAGAAGCATGACACTGCACCTGCCATCCACTGATCACAGGTGCAATACTCTGCAGGCCTCCTGCAAAAAATATGTCCATATTTATTTAGTTTTTTTTTAAATGGGGGACCTAGCTTTTAATATTTTCCTGCCCTACCTACAGGAGGGGTGCAAGGGCCACATGAAATGCCTGGAGGGCCGGATTTAGCCCGCGGGCCTTGTATTTGACACCTGTGCTAAAAATGAAAGTGCAGCCCTCTGTATGGGCTTACAGATGGAGGAAGAGTCTGCAGAAGCATGACACTGCACCTGTCATCCACTAATCACAGGTGCAATACTCTGCAGGCCTCCTGAAAAAAATATGTCCATATTTATTGTTTTTTTTTTTTTAAATGGGGGACTTCGCTTTTAATATTTTCCTGCCCTTTGCTTTCTTGCATTTCCCCTCCCTGCTACCCTTCTTCTCAATCTCAGATCTTTTTGTTTCAATCAGATTTTATGAAATCTTTCCAAACAGAATTATAATGTTTTAATAAAATTACTTAGAACCCCCAAATATTAAATATTGCCTGAAAGTAGGGGCCCTGGAGAATAAAATGGTGTTTCAATTTTCTATGTTGTGCAATATTTGCGCAGTCGTTTATCAAATGCAAATTTTCAGGAAAAAAAAATTACAGTAAAATTAATTTTTGTGCATGCAAACAATAACTGTTTGGCAAAACATAAATGATGATGTTGCGTCGAGTAAATAGATACCAAACATGTCAAGATTTATGAGTGCACATAATCGTGAGATGGCATCAAGGTATGGTACCTAGAATTGTCCACAAGTGCCACTTTAAAAGACTTTACAGGTTATCAGTGAATTACGGGCTTAGATTTAATTTCTCTCACGCGGACTATTCGCAGCCACACCACACACGTATGATGCACTCGCTGTTTACATATGCTTCATGGACCTACGCGTGCATTTGTGTGTATGCACAGGGGAAATTATTTTTATTTAAAATTCTTTTTTTTTTTTGTATTCAACTTTATTGCTATCACAATGGGGGCTAACAAACCCATTGTCTCCCTCTTCAATGCAGCTAACCAAGCACAGATTGTGGTTGGTTAGCTTCTTCCCCAACGTCCTTTCACAGAGCTGTAAATGTGGCTGTAAAGCCGACCAGATAACTTTTACAAACAGCCGATTGCGGGCTGAAAAATACAGTACCAGGATCATGGCAAATGTAATCTTGATGTAACGTGACCTTATAACAACCACTATGTTGACAGGACATTTATATTCGCGGTACACCAAAATGAAAATTCTGGTACGGAAAATTAAAAATGCACTTGGCCAAAAACCGAAATGCGCAGTATTTAAAAATGAATATATATTTTTTTGGAAAAAAAAATACACTGATTAAAAAAAAAAAAAAACACAATATATATATATATTATATAAAATAAAAAATACACATATATATATATATATATATATATACCATGCACTTGGCCAGAAAAAAAACGAAATGTGCAGTTTTTAAAAATGAATATTTTATATTTTTTGGAAAAAAAAATACACTTCGATTAAAAAAAAACAAAACAAGAAAAAACAATATATACCCCAATTTTTTTGTAAAATATGAAAGAGGATGTTACGGCGAATAAATAGCTATCCCAACATGTCACGCTTTAAAATTGCGCACGCTCGTGGAAAAGTGTGAAACTGCGGTACTTAAAAATCGCCATGGGTGGTGCTTTAAAAATGTCTACAGGTTAGCAGTGTAAAGTTACAGAGGAGGTCTAGTGCCAGAATTATTGCTCCGACGTTTGTGGCGATACGTCACGTGTTTGGTTTGAACACCATTTACATATGTGGGCATGGCCTACATATGCGTTCACCACTATGTGCGAGCACGGGGGGGGGGGGGGGGGGGGGCACTTTAAACATTTTATAAAAATGTATTTATTTTTGCACTGTCCCTTTAAAAAAAAGAAAAGTTTCATCACTTTTATTCTTATCACCAGAAATGCACGCATCCCTTGTGATAGAGATAATTAGTGACAGGTCCTCTTTATGGAGAGATATGGGGTCAATAAGACCCCACATCTCTCCTCTGCAATGCAAAGCAGTAGATCAAAAAAAAAAAAAAAAAAAAAAAAGCATCGATCTAGTGCTTTGAAAAATATTTTTCGGTGCTTTTTTTCCTATTGACAGATTATTTTATTATTATTATACAGTATTTATAAAGCGCCAATAGTTCGCTCAGCCGCTGTACATTACAAAGGGGGACAGAACATGTGACAGAACAATACCAATACAATGCAAAACATGAGGGGATCGAGGGCCCTGCTCTTTCAAGCTTACAATCTAGGAGGGAGGGGGATGGTGCACAGGAGGAGATGTAGCTGTGGGGGATGGAGTGGTAGGAAGAGTGGAGGAGGTCGGCAAGTTAGCAGGGGGGCGGGGGTAGGCTTCCTGAAGAGATGGGTTTTCAGGGTGCGCCTAAAGGAGAGGAGAGTAGGTGATAATCTGATGGGTTGGGGCAGGGAGTTCAGAGGATGGGTGGACACCCTGGAGAAGTCCTGGAGGCGGGCATGGGAGGAGGAGACCAGGGAACTAGAGAGAAGGAGGTCTTGTGAGGAGCGGAGTGGTGCGTGTTGGGCTGGGTACTTGGATTATTAGGTCAGTGATGTAGTTCGGGGCAGTATGGTGGACAGCTTTGTACGTCAGTGTTAGGATTTTGAATTTGATCCGTTGCGCAATCGGAACGCCAGTGGAGGGATTGGCAGAGGGGGGGTGGCAGAAACGGATGCGGTTGGAAAGGTGAATGAGTCTGGCAGCCCGTATTCAGGATGGACTGAAGCGGGGATAGCCCAGCGGCGAGGCAGGCCAGTGGGAGTGAGGAGGGAGTTGCAGTAGTTGAGTCGCGATATGATGAGGGAGTGGATGAGACTGTTTAGTGGTTTCTGGAGTTAGGAACGTGCGGATTTTTGGCGATGTTGCGGAGGTGGAGTCTGCACGAGTTTGTTTTAAAGAGTGGACTTGGGGCTGGAAGGATAGGTTGGAGTCCAAAATGACACAATTACTCTGGCCTGCGGGGGGGTTTGATGGTGGCGTTGTTGGACATGATGGAGAAGTCAATGGGGGGTGGTGTCCGGGCTGGGGGGAAGACAAAGAAACTCGGTTTTGGAGAGGTTCAATTTAAGGAAGTGGAGCGACATCCAGTCTGATATGTCGCTCAACAGGTGTGTGATTCGGGGCGGAGACCGAGGGGGTGAGGTGGGGGGTTGAGAGATAGATTTGTGTGTGTCGTCGGCATAGAGGTGGTAGGGGTTGAAGCCGTGAGAGTGTATGAGTTCGCCAAGGGAGGAGGTGTAGTGGAGAAGAGGAAGGGGCCCGAGGGACAGAGCCTTGAGGGACCCCAACAGAGTGGGGAGGGGGAGTGAGAGGGAGGTGGTGGCATTATAGGTAACGCTGAAAGAGGCGTTGTGACAGGTAGGACGGATGAGAGCCAGGAGAGAGCAGAATCTAGGTTGAGGCCGAGGGAGTGTAGTTTTTTGAGGAGGGGGGGGTGGTCGACTGTGTGTCGAGGGCCGCAGAGAGGTCAAGGAGTAGGAGCACTGAATAGTGGCCATTAGCTTTGGCGGTTAGCAGGTCGTTGGAGAGTTTGAGAGGCAGTTTCGGTGGAGTGTAGGGGACGGAAGCCGGACTGTAGGGGATCGGAGGAGGTTGTTGTCGTTGAGGTGAGAGCATAGGAGGGGGCGTAGACTAGGCGCTCGGGAGTGATTGGGCATGTGGGGGGGGGGGGGGGAAAGGCCGGGGGGAGGGGGGGTGAGGGGTGTGGGTGAGGGAGGAAGGGGTGGGGGGGAGGGGGGGGGTAGGGGAGTTGTGAGGGGTTAGGGTCAAGGGGGGAGGTGGTTGAGGCGGGCATCAGAGGGATTTTGGAGACTTCTTCGATGGTAGTAAGGTCAAAGGTGCGGGGGTGGGGGGGGGAGCTTCAGTATGAGGAATGTAGGGTGGGGGTGGGGGAGGAGGTCAGAGCAGTGGGGGGGGGCCGGGGGCGAGGGGTGTAGGGGGGGTAGGGCTGAGGGAGGGGGGAAGGGGGTTGGGGGGGAGTTTGAGCAGCGACGAAGGGGTGGGTTATGGGAGGGGGAGGGGGGATGGGGGGGTAGCTGTGAGGGAGGGGAGAGGGGAGGGGTGAGGCAAATGTCCTTGCGAATTGTGTCAATCTTGTTTTTGAAGTGATTGGCAATCTCAAGGGCAGTGATGGCCGAAAGGGGTGTTTCCGGGCAAAACGTTTCGGCCACCAAAATTCCGAGCTTCCCTAATTTATATAAATACGATCGGTCAGCAAGTGGTTAAAGAATTTAAAAAAAAAAAAGATGAAAAAGAAAAATAAAAGTGGAGATAAAACAGCACTTTGGAGTAAACTGTCTCAGATAACATTCTGTCGGAGGGAATTCTGCACACAGAGTTCGTTATACCAGCAGTCACATGATCCTGTCGCAGGTTGAACCAATTGTGGCACGGACGGGGCGATGACAGCTGCTGGTGGCAATGGTGAGAACCATGAAGAATTCTCCTTACCATTTCTGTTTGGGGTTCCGGTTTGCTGAGCTCGACTTTCTCTTCGTCTGCTTTTCTTCTTCTGGCTGCTCTATAATGAAGGGAACAAATAAAACCATAAACACCAACAAACATTTAACCACTTCCTGTCCAGCCCATGTACATAAACGGCTGGACGGTTGACCGTTTAATAAAAGTCCTCCCATTTCCCTGCTTGTGCGCGCTCCCTGGGAGCCCGCAGCACCGCGATCTGGTGCCCGCTGTGTCCGGGACCTCTGTGTGAGGCTTGATTGGCCAATCAGTGATCACATGACTAGTAGTAAGCAAGATGTCACTTCTGACATCATTGCTTACTACGTGTGAAATCTGTGAATGATTACAGAGGTCACATGGTATAAGGCCATTCACAACATCCATGTACCATGTGACAAGCTGTGACCAATCACAGCTCTCACAGTATTTCTCAATGGCTGCAGGAATGCGGCCAGAGAGAGAGAGGAGAGAGAAATTATTGCTTTTACAGCCTTTATGGGTTGTAAAAGCAATCAGTGTAAAAAAAAAAAAAAAAATCTTCATCACGACCCACGCCCACAAGTAGTACAGTATCACCATGGAGACACAGTACTGCTAGGGTATGCTAAAAAAAAAAAACAATTAAAAAAATAAATTGTCAACATTTTTTTAGTAAAATTATAATTTTTGGTTATAAACTAAGAAGAGAAATGATTGCTTTTACAGCTTTATGGGTGTAAAAGCAATCCGTGTAAAATAATAAATAAAAATCTTCATTCCCCCACAAGTAGTACAGGGTCACTATGGTAACACTGTACTGCTAGGGTGACAGTATGTTAAAAAAAAAAATAAAAAAAAAAAACCATAATATAAAAAAAAAAAAAAAAAGTGTAAAAACAAAAAAGTTGAAAAATTATAATTTTTGGTTATAAACTAATTTGTGTTATTTTTTTTTTTATTTACTAAAAACATAACTGAATAAATTTTGGCCAAGATTTATGAAGAAAGATTATTTATTTGCAAAATTTTATAAGAAAAACACTGTTTTTTTCAAAATTTTGGACTTTTTATATAGCAATAAAAAAAAAAATCCCAGTGGTGAATAAATACCACCAAAATAAAGTTTTAACTATCTAAAAAGTAAAAAAAAAATTTCATATGGGTACAGTGTTGCATGACTGCACAATTGTCATTCAAAGTGTGATAGCGCTGAAGCTGAAAATTGGCCAGGACTGGAAGGGGGGGGGGGGGGGGGGAAAGCGTCCGGACTGGAAGGGGGGGGGGGAAAGCGTCCGGACTGGAAGGGGGGGGGGGGGGGGGGGGGGGGGGTAAGCGTCCGGACTGGGGGGGGGGGGGTAAGCGTCCGGACTGAAGGGGGGGGGGGGGGGGGGGGTAAGCGTCCGGACTGGAACGGGGGGGGGGGGGGGTAAGCGTCCGGACTGGAAGGGGGGGGGGGGGGGGGGGAAAGCGTCCGGACTGGAAGGGGGGGGGGGGGGGGGGGGAAAGCGTCCGGACTGGAAGGGGGGGGGGGGGGGGGATAGAAAGCGTCCGGACTGGAGGGTGGGGGGGGGGGGGGGGAAAGCGTCCGGACTGGAAGGGGGGGGGGGGGGGGGGGGAGAAAGCGTCCGGACTGGAAGGGGGGGGGGGGGGAGAAAGCGTCCGGACTGGAAGGGGGGGGGGGGGGAGAAAGCGTCCGGACTGGAAGGGGGGGGGGGAGAAAGCGTCCGGACTGGAAGGGGGGGGGGAAAGCGTCCGGACTGGAAGGGGGGGGGGGGGGACTGGAAGGGGGGGGGGAAAGCGTCCCGGACTGGAAGGGGGGGGGGGGGGAAAGCGTCCGGACTGGAAGGGGGGGGGGGAAAGCGTCCCGGACTGGAAGGGGGGGGGGAAAGCGTCCGGACTGGAAGGGGGGGGGGGAAAGCGTCCGGGACTGGAAGGGGGGGGGGGGGAAAGCGTCCGGACTGGAAGGGGGGGGGGGGGAAAGCGTCCGGACTGGAAGGGGGGGGGGGGAAAGCGTCCGGACTGGAAGGGGGGGGGGGAAAAGCGTCCGGACTGGAGGGGGGGGGGGGGGAAAGCGTCCGGACTGGAAGGGGGGGGGGGAAAGCGTCCGGACTGGAAAGGGGGGGGGGGGGAAAGCGTCCGGACTGGAAGGGGGGGGGGGGAAAGCGTCCGGACTGGAAGGGGGGGGGGGGGGAAGCGTCCGGACTGGAAGGGGGGGGGGAAAGGTCCGGGACTGGAAGGGGGGGGAAAGCGTCCGGACTGGAAGGGGGGGGGGGGGAAAGCGTCCGGACTGGAGGGGGGGGAAAGCGTCCGGACTGGAAGGGGGGGGGAAAGCGTCCGGACTGGAAGGGGGGGGGGGGGGAAAGCGTCCCGGACTGGAAGGGGGGGGGGGGGGGGGAAGCGTCCGGACTGGAAGGGGGGGGGGGGGGAAAGCGTCCGGACTGGAAGGGGGGGGGGGGGGAAAGCGTCCGGACTGGAAGGGGGGGGGGGGGAAAGCGTCCGGACTGGAAGGGGGGGGGGGGGGAAAGCGTCCGGACTGGAAGGGGGGGGGGGGGGAAGCGTCCGGACTGGAAGGGGGGGGGGGGGGAAAGCGTCCGGACTGGAAGGGGGGGGGGGGGGGAAAGCGTCCAGACGTCCGGACTGGGGGGGGGGGGGGGAAAGCGTCCGGACTGGAAGGGGGGGGGGGGAAGCGTCCGGACTGGAAGGGGGGGGGGGGGGGAAAGCGTCCGGACTGGAAGGGGGGGGGGGGGGGAAGCGTCCGGACTGGAAGGGGGGGGGGGGGAAGCGTCCGGACTGGAAGGGGGGGGGGGAAAGCGTCCGGACTGGAAGGGGGGGGGGGGGGGGAAAAAGCGTCCGGACTGGAAGGGGGGGGGGGGGGAAAGCGTCCGGACTGGAAGGGGGGGGGGGGGGGGGGAAAGCGTCCGGACTGGAAGGGGGGGGGGGGGAAAGCGTCCGGACTGGAAGGGGGGGGGGGGGGAAAGCGTCCGGACTGGATGGGGGGGGGGGGGGAAAGCGTCCGGACTGGAAGGGGGGGGGGGGGGGAGAAAGCGTCCGGACTGGAAGGGGGGGGGGGGAGAAAGCGTCCGGACTGGAAGGGGGGGGGGGGGGGGAAAGCGTCCGGACTGGAAGGGGGGGGGGGGGGAAGCGTCCGGACTGGAAGGGGGGGGGGGGGGAAAGCGTCCGGACTGGAAGGGGGGGGGGGAAAGCGTCCGGACTGGAAATGGGGGGGGGGAGGAAAGCGTCCGGACTGGAAGGGGGGGGGGAGAAAAGCGTCCGGACTGGAAGGGGGGGGGAGAGAAAGCGTCCGGACTGGAAGGGGGGGGAGAAAGCGTCCGGACTGGAGGGGGGGGGGGAAAAGCGTCCGGACTGGAAGGGGGGGGGGGGGGAAGTGTCCGGACTGGAAGGGGGGAATGGGGGGGGAGAAGCACATGTATGTAGACTGCCAATTTAGTTCTACAAATGCTTTCTGCGTCTCTGGCTGCACTACTCTCCAATCCAGAGTGAATACGCAGATAAGGACGGATGAGATGCATTTCCTGATATGTATAACTTGTTGGATTGTTGGATTGTTTACCAGCACACATTTTATAGCATTGCAGCGCATCTTCAGAAAGGGCAGCGCGTTTCAACACAGAAAGCGGACGTTCCCACAGCGCTAACGAGTGCACGCCGCCTATATGTTCAATCATTTAAAATTGTTTGTGAAAACATTGTTGCACCTTTCCTGATACAATGTTGCGCATGCATTTTTTTTCCCTGTAAAACTTTAAATAAAAACAATTATAGTAAAAAAAGTAAAACCGCATTTCTGGTATGCTTAGTAAGAAAAAGTAAAAAAAAAAAAAAAAAAAAAAAAGTGAAGTTTCAGGTTCACCTTTGCCGGCTGCGACTTGACATGCGTTTCTGCTCAGAGCCTACAGAAGAAAAAAAAAAAAAAAAAAAAGATAAGTTGTTAATCTGAAGAATTCTCTAAAGAATAACCACTACAGGGACATGTTTAAGAAAAACAAAAAAACTCAAGTGAAATTAAAGGCATTTAAAGTTATAAATAAATAAAAAAAACAACAAATATGGTATATTTACCTGCTCTGTGCAGTGGTTTTGCACAAAGCAGCCCCGATCCTCTTCTTGGTTTCTCCGCTGGCGCTCCTGACCCCTCCTTACTGCTAAGTGCCCCCAGAGCGAGCAGCTTGCTATGGGGGAACCCACACAGGCTCACTCCCGAGCCGCATCTCCGTGTCCCCACGCAGAGCTGCAGCTTGGCCCCACCCCCCCTCTCTCATCACTGGCCCACTGGCTGTGACTGACAGCAGTGGGAGCCAATGGCAGGTGTTGCATTCTCAGCCAGTGAGGGGGCAGAATCCCTAGAGAGCCAAGGTTCTCGCGCACTCAGGTAAGTACTGGGGGGGGGGGGGGATGCTGCTGCACACAGAAGGTTTTTACCTTCATGCATAGAACCGCACTTGCAGTATCTTTACACAATTCCCCAAATCATTCACGTGGATGTGAAGCCAATCAGCTTCAACTTGCTGGTGGTGTTACTTTAACAAAGGGTAAGTTCACCTTTTAAATATTTAACACCAGTGTTCCAGAAGATCCCCCACACCCCATGAGCACCCCCTTTCCGGTGACAGCGTGCTGGGGTTCTTCTCCCCCACAACCACTGTCACGTTTAAAACTGGTGTAGCTGGGTGGGGGCTCCGCCCACATAACTGCGTCATTCATTCATTCACAGGGTTCTGTGAATAAACTAGACCCCTTGACCATGGCGGCAGATGGCTTGTAGTTCTGGCCAATCAGTGATCACATGAATCAGAGGTCACACGGCGATCGATGTTCCGCTGTGTCCTCCCAGGGAGCGCGCACAGGCATCGTCCAATAGGCGGGAAGGAGGTAAATAACAAACATGTCTATACTTACCTGCTGTGATTTTGCAAAGCCTTGATCCCTGCCTGAACTCCTGGCTCCTCCCCCTCAAGCAGTGCCCTCAGGAGAAGCCACACGCCCTGGGGGCACCAATGTGTGCTCGCTCCTCGAGCTGCTGCTCTGAGTCCACAAGACACATAGAATCGTAGTTCAGCCGAGTAATATAAAAAAAAAACAAATTTCAACATGCAGTGTGTGCATATATATATTTTTCATATATTTTGTAATAAAAATGAACTTCAACATACAATATATATTTATTGAAATATATATTGTAGTATTTCAAATATACGTCAATATATTTGAGAAGAATATTTTTAAAATATATTTTTCTTCCACGTGGGTATGTACAGGTTGTGTATTTCTGCAGCACACGCTGGGCTCTGCTGGTGGAAGGATCTGATCAGCACTCACCCTCAGTCAGGATTTTGCTCAGCTCGCTCTCCGCTCCGGGCTGTTTCTTGGATTTTCGGCCCGGTCCGCGGGGCACTTTCCTCAGGGGGTCCAGCTTCCTACCCATGATGTCAATGCGGGGATGTTGTGACGACTCCGATCAGCTGTGACAATAGAGAAGGAATGGTTACCAGGCCTAAAAGGAAGCTCATATTTTTCTGGCAGTTCCGCTTATCAGGAGATACGGGTGCTGCAAATTTCTTGCCTGAAAGTGAGGATGTCCTTTAGGCCCCATACACATTGGGCATTTAGCCCTGGGGCATGAGACGTCAGTGTTTAGCAGTGGGTGGAGGACACGGGTGCACCTGCCAAAGTCTATGAGGATGCGGATGGATGGTGGACCCAGTAGCACATCCCTTGAGGACAGTATGTGCCCAGGGAGTGCATGCTGGAAGTACCCCTGGGTGCACCGTCTAGCTGCAGCAACTCTCAGCCTCTCATGCAGTACGACGGGCTGCCAGCAGGGGCAGCATCTGTGTCCTCCACCTGCAGCTACAGTGCTGTGAAAAACCGATTGCTCCCTTCCTGTTTTTTTTTTTTTTGCATATTTCTCACACTTAACTAATTCAAATTATAAATGATAATAAATGTTTACATTACAAAAAAGATACCCCGAGTAAATACAAAATGCAGTTTTGAAATGATGATTTCATTTATTAAGGGAAAAAAGCCGTCCAAACCTGCCTGGCCTGATGTGAAAAAGTAACTGCCCCCCTAAACCTGATAACTGGCGGAAACAACTCAACAGTCAAGTGTTGGTGATAACGGGCGATAAATCACATCTCTGTGGAGGAATCTTGGCCTGCTTTTCTTTGCAAAATTGTTTTAACCATCTCCTGTCTGGCTGTTGTATATAAACGGCCAGGCGGTGGCAGTGCAGGGGCGGGTGGCTGTTTATAAACGGCCCTCCCCGCCCCCTGCTTGTGCACGCACCCTGGTAGCGCGCAGTGCCGCGATCCAGGGCCCGCTGTGTCCTCTGGACACCGATCGTCGGGCAGGACCTCTGTGCAAGGTCCCGATCATGTGATCACTGATTGGCCAATCAGTGATCACATGCAGAGTAGTAAGCTAGATGTCACTTCTGACATCATTGCTTACTACGTGTAAAATCTATGAATGATCACATCACATAAAAATCCTCCTGCGCTCTTATGGTGAGTGGTGAATAAAGAACTAAAAAGCAGCCAGCATCTGTCCCATACCAAATATAGGCAATATGAATAGAATGTAAAGTTGATGCAGCGCTAAAAGACTAAAACCTAAATGCAGTATATAACCAGATAGTGAGTAATAACATGACCCAAAACCACCTAGGGATACACAGAAAACAATAGCCCTTAATAGACTAGTAACAGTGGTTAAGTGGTTAAGTGCAGGATAAGGTGTCCATAATAAATACAGGGGTGTAAGTGAATCACAGCACACTTCAAGGAACGTGACCCCGGGCAGTCTTGCTGCAGTGGCCTCTCACCTCCACTCTACGACCCTACAGGGCCATAAAGCGTAATGTAGATCACCACGGAATCCTCCAATTCAGGGACTCTTTAGATGGATAAATAAACAGGGACAGAATTCCTCCAGGCCAGTGGATGAATAGAAGGCACTCTCCTCCGATGTCACAGCCGCTCATATGCCCATAAATGAGGAGATAAAACACAATCCTCATAGTGTATTACCGCTTTATTTGAATATAGGCAACAAACAAAGAGGGAAGGTAATCCACTTACATAACAGACGGCTTGTATGGAGATGCAATGCTGGGTGTACAGCAGGATCAAAAAGGTGCACCAAGATGGCGTCACGCCAGAAGTGCGTCACCACGCTATTGCCGTCGACGCGTTGCGTCACGTACCTCGTGACTTCATCAGGACAGCGTGATTGGCCGGCGGCACTTCCTTATAAAGGCCGGGAACCGCACCCATCAAGACCACAGTGGGCGGTGCGATCGCGGCCATATTCTAATAGTCCAGCATGCCAAGAAAAAAAAACCCAGGCAGCCATATAAATGTAGTCTAATAAGGACAAACCTTCTCCCATTAGGTCTAGCAATCCCAGTGAAGTAATACACTATAAAAAGAGCACCACACATCAATGTCTCTCCATAATCAACGCATAGAGAGACTGATATATAAAAATAATAAAAAATGTATATAAATATAGAAAAACACATAATATAATTTAATGAAAATCAGAAAAAAATCTATATAAAAAAACGAGCATAATCATATAATGCCCTATACAAAATACACTAGAAAAATATATGAATAAAAAATTATATATATATATATATAAAAATATATATATATTAAATAAAATGATGAGAAAAAAACGCTCCTTTGTAATCCTGCATGAACACAATACATCAAGTACTAAAAAACACATAATATCTACATGGAAGAGGTTATCGATCACTGATAAAACAGTTCAAGTCGAACTCAATATTGAGTCCCATCGGGGCAAATGTATCCATGAGAAAAATATATTTTGATTCTATCTGACTTAGAGATCTCACTTTGTGGGACCCCCTCTCCAGTGTTTCTTGTATTTCTCGACTCCCCAAAATTTAAGACCAGAAGGGTCTTGATTATGGTATAGCCGAAAATGATTGGATAGACAGGGTTTTTCCCGTGTAAGACCTGTTATGCCTGTAGAGCCACCAGGGGTTCCAACACTAGATTGAGCTCCTTTTCAGCTACTAGTAATGGTAGGTCTTTTCAAGTGAAGGACTTTATATCGTGTAGAACGGAGGGGGGTTGTGTATGTTCTCCAATGCGGATGTGGCTTGCAATATGTGGGAAGGACAAAAAGACCTTTATGGGTCCGGTTGAGAGAACATGTCCAGAAGATAAAAAAGGGCTTCCCGAAACACTGTCTATCCAATCATTTTCGGCTATACCATAATCAAGACCCTTCTGGTCTTAAATTTTGGGGAGTCGAGAAATACAAGAAACACTGGAGAGGGTCCCACAAAGTGAGATCTCTAAGTCAGATAGAATCAAAATATATTTTTCTCATGGATACATTTGCCCCGATGGGACTCAATATTGAGTTCGACTTGAACTGTTTTATCAGTGATCGATAACCTCTTCCATGTAGATATTATGTGTTTTTTAGTACTTGATGTATTGTGTTCATGCAGGATTACAAAGGAGCGTTTTTTCTCATCATTTTATTTAATATATATATATTTTTATATATATATATAATTTTTATTCATATATTTTCTAGTGTATTTTGTATAGGGCATTATATGATTATGCTCGTTTTTTTATATAGATTTTTTTCTGATTTTCATTAAATTATATTATGTGTTTTTCTATATTTATATACATTTTTTTATTATTTTTATATATCAGTCTCTCTATGCGTTGATTATGGAGAGACATTGATGTGTGGTGCTCTTTTTATAGTGTATTACTTCACTGGGATTGCTAGACCTAATGGGAGAAGGTTTGTCCTTATTAGACTACATTTATATGGCTGCCTGGGTTTTTTTCTTGGCATGCTGGACTATTAGAATATGGCCGCGATCGCACCGCCCACTGTGGTCTTGATGGGTGCGGTTCCCGGCCTTTATAAGGAAGTGCCGCCGGCCAATCACGCTGTCCTGATGAAGTCACGAGGTACGTGACGCAACGCGTCGACGGCAATAGCGTGGTGACGCACTTCTGGCGTGACGCCATCTTGGTGCACCTTTTTGATCCTGCTGTACACCCAGCATTGCATCTCCATACAAGCCGTCTGTTATGTAAGTGGATTACCTTCCCTCTTTGTTTGTTGCCTATATTCAAATAAAGCGGTAATACACTATGAGGATTGTGTTTATCTCCTCATTTATGGGCATATGAGCGGCTGTGACATCGGAGGAGAGTGCCTTCTATTCATCCACTGGCCTGGAGGAATTCTGTCCCTGTTTATTTATCCATCTAAAGAGTCCCTGAATTGGAGGATTCCGTGGTGATCTACATTACGCTTTATGGCCCTGTAGGGTCGTAGAGTGGAGGTGAGAGGCCACTGCAGCAAGACTGCCCGGGGTCACGTTCCTTGAAGTGTGCTGTGATTCACTTACACCCCTGTATTTATTATGGACACCTTATCCTGCACTTAACCACTTAACCACTGTTACTAGTCTATTAAGGGCTATTGTTTTCTGTGTATCCCTAGGTGGTTTTGGGTCATGTTATTACTCACTATCTGGTTATATACTGCATTTAGGTTTTAGTCTTTTAGCGCTGCATCAACTTTACATTCTATGAATGATCACAGAGATCACATGGTACAGGGCCATTCACAACAGCCTTGTACCATGTGACAAGCTGTGACCAATCACAGCTCACACAGTATTTCTCAATGGCTGCAAGAATGCAGCCAGAGAGAAGGCGAAATGATTGCTTTTACAGCCTGTATGGGTGTAAAAGCAATCAGTGTAAAAAAAAAAAAAAAACATCACCCCCCACAAGTAGTACAGTGTCACCATGGTGACAATGTACTGCTAGGGTGACAGTATGTAAAAAAAATATATATATTATATATAAAAATGTAAAAAAAAATTTTTTTTAAAAATTATAATTTTTGGTTATAAACTAATTTGGGTTATTTTTTCTTTTTACTAAAAAGATAACGGAAGACTTTTTTTAAAAAATTTTTGGAATTTTTCATTTACATAGCAAAAAAAAAAAATAAAAATCCTAGTGGTGAATAAATACCACCAAAATAAAGCTTTATCTGTCTAATAAAATGCAAAAAAAAATTCATATGGGTACAGTGTTGCATGACCGCGCAATAGTCATTCAAAGTGTGATAGCGCTGAAAGCTGAAAATTGGCCTGGACTGGAAGGGGGGGGGGGGGGGGGGAAGTGTCCGGACTGGAAGTGGTTAATTCAGCCAAATTGGAGGGTTCTCCAGCATGACGGCCTGTTTAAGGTCATCCCACAGCATTTCAACTGGATTGAAGTCCAGACTTTGACCAGGCCACTCCAAAATCTTCATTTTGTCTTTTTTTAGCCATTCAGAGGTTGACTTGCTGGTGTGTTTTGGATCATTGTCCTGCTGCATGACCCAAGTAAG